ATGGTGCTTGGACATTCCGATATAATTTTTGCGTTCCTCGCACTTTGGATAGGCTCATCCTCGACTATCGGAAGGAGCGCCTGATCTTCTTGAACTGTTTGTCTGTAAGTTAAAGTTGAAACCTTTTTCCAGAAATTAAACATCGAACATTCGAACATAAATAAAGAATTAGATTGTTTAGAGATCGACTGTGAATTAGCAATTAACATTAACGATATTACTTACTCCACACTATTTAGTGACAAAGACAAGTATTTTTTAACAGTTATGAATCCACAACCGCAGATATTGTATTCTTTAGTTAAATTACATTAACAAGATATGCCCATTAAACCAGCCGTGTCTTATGTAACAGCTCCAGCAATTAAATTCTCAACAAAATTAGTAAATATTTTAAAGTTCCACGCAGATTTTAAACCAAAATTAGCAATAAAAAATTCTTTTGAATTAATAAACCAAATTAAAGATATCAAAATCCCTTCTAACGCAACACTATTGTCTTTTGATGTACAAAACTTATTGCCCAGTATTCCACCTATGAATGTGATAAGATTTAGTAGATTTCACCCTCACTCGGAAACAGGTTAACCCATTGGAGAAACAAGATTTATTAGATTGCTTAATAGTATCTTTAGACCAAAATTATTTTGAATTTAATGGACAGATTTGCACCTCTAAGGAAGGTTTGATTATGGGAAGTCTTTTGTTAGCCGAGATTTTTATGAGTAATTTGGAAAATATCATACTAGAACAGAAAGTAAAAGTTTTACATGGTGGTATAGATACGTAGATGATGTCTTTGCTTGTTTTGTTGGAACGGACAGACAACTGAATTCTTTTTTAAATTACATTAACTCATTGCATAATCGTATAAAATTCACTACCGAGATTGAACAGGATAACTTTATTAATATTTTAGACTTAACTATTGCGAAAACGCAAAACAATTTAGATTTTTCCATTTACCATAAACCTTCACGGACAGTCATACATAACAGCTCAAATCAGCCTTATACACACAAAATGGCTGCATTTCACTCTTTTATACACAGACTTCTTAATACGTCACGGTCGACAAAAGATTACAACAAAGAATTTAATATCCGTTCATTATCGATAAAATTATAAACAAAAAACCAATCCAGACAACAGTAAACTATATTTATCCGAAACCTAATACAGAACATGAACAATTTAAAACAATTACATACATAGGAGAACCCAGTGAAAAAATTTCAAAACATTTGTCAAAATGTGGTTTAAAAATAGCTTTCAGAACTGACAACACAATAGGAAATTTTTTAAAAAACAATAAAACGAAATGTCCAAAATCTCAAAAATCAGGTGTCTACAGGTTGAAATGCGGATCTTGTCCTAAAATTTATATTGGACAAACAGGTAGATCCTTCAAGAAACGCATTAACGAACATAAAAGAGCGTTTAAAACCAATAGTCTAGATTCTAATTATGCTACACACTTAAACACAGAAAAACACATTTTTGACGACAATTTTGATATTTTACATACAACCACAAAAAGTAGAAAATTAAATTTATTGGAAGCCATGGAGATTAACAAAATGAGACATTAAAATGTATTGCTTAATGTTCAACTAGATTTAAATACCTCTCCATTATTAAACTTAAATTCTCACAACAACATTAATTAAGGTTTTATTATTATTTTTCGGTATATATAGTAGGAGGCAGTTTGTAAATTATATATATATATATATATATATATATATATATATATATATATATATATTCACGTATTGATTCACGGATGGAAAAATGTGATGACACTATATTCCGGGATATCATCGGTTCGCTCGTTGAACTCCGACTGGAATCCTGCAGACGTTTCGCCAAAATCTCACTGGGCATCTTCAGTGCTCGCGCTCCGAAGTGTTTCGCCCGATCGTAGTTGCGATGTCCCCGCTGGCTGCTGCGCATCGCTCTGCTGTTTGATTATCGTTCTCCACGTGTTGGATAAATGCAAAGCGTCGTCTCTCGTATTGAGGTGTCCGGACTTTTCTATTTCGATGGCCTCTCGTATAATCCTAGTCCTAAAATCAGGAATATTAGCTATTTGTTTGCAAGTGCCGAAATCAATTTTATGGCCTGTCTGATGTTGGTGCTGAAACAAAGCAGATGTTGTTTGTTTGTTTCTTATGGCTAAATGATGTTCCTCGAGCCTGGCTGAAATCCTTCTGTTGGTCTGTCTCACATACGTCAGGCTGCACGATCCGCATGCTACACTGTATACTCCTTGGTTTTCCAGAGTAATTTTTTGTTTTGGGTTTCTTAGTATTGCTCCGATGGTATGGTCAGGTTTGTATGCCGTTGATATGTCGTGTTTCCGTAATATTCGGCCGATTTTGTCAGTAACTTCCTTGATGTATGGCAGGACAGCGATCGATCTTCGTTGGGTCTCGTCCTGCACTCTCTGCTGCGGCTGTTGTTGTTTACTGATTGACTTGCTGATGGTGCGCCTTTGGTATCCGTTTTGTCGAAGACAGGTACTAATTTTCTTCAGTTCTTTATCTCTGTTCCTCTCGTTTGTGAGCCTGAAGGACCGAGCAATTAATATATTTGCCACTGCCTGTATCTGTGATGGGTGGTGATGAGATTTAGCGTCCAGATATCTATTAGTGTGTGTTGGTTTTCTATAGACAGTGTGTTCCAAGTGTCCATCTTCGGTCCTTGTGATGTGCACATCTAAAAAGGACAGACTGTTATCCTCTTCAAGTTCTATGGTAAATTGAATCCTTGGGTGAATGGAATTCAGATGATCTAGGAATTTCAAAAGCTCCTCCTTGCCAAAAGGCCATACAACAAATACGTCATCAACGTATCTTGTCCATAGTTTTGGCTTCAGATTTGCCTTCTCTATTGCTTTCTTTTCGAAGTAAATCATGAAGAGGTTGGCAATCACAGGTGAGAGAGATGATCCCATTGCTGCTCCATCCAATTGTCGGTAAATTTTCCCGTTGTACATAAAGTAAGCGTTTTTCAGGCAATGTCTTGACAGATCCATTATGTATGGCGGAAGATCTTCGTTTTCTTCTATAAGCAAGAGTGCCTCTTCTACTGGAATACTCGGATAGAGGGATTTGACATCGAAACTTGCCATAATGTCGTCCTTGTCCATCCTGAGAGAATCTAACATCTGAGTGAAATGTTCTGAGTTTTTAACATAGGAATCTGCCTTTTCCAATATAGGCTGAAGTGCACTGGCCAGATGTTTTTCCAGCTTGCATAATGGTGAGTTAAAGGCGCTTACGATTGGATGCAGGGGAACCCCGTCCTTATGGATCTTTGGGAGCCCGTAGAATTTTGGGCAACGACTCGATTTTTTCCTCGGAATAAGTTTCTTCTTTGTATCCTCGTTTATTGATGAATCGAGAATTTTGGACTTAGTTGTTTTTTCCAAATATGTCGTGGGATCTCTGGTGACTAGTTTGTATGTTGGGTCGTTCAAAATATCCTCCAATTTTGCATTATAATCCGACGTATTCATGACGACAGTGGCATTTCCTTTGTCTGCTGGCATTATTAGAATGTTTTCGTTTTTGTTTAGATTCCTTAAGGCTTGCATTTCTTCTCTGCTTAAGTTTGGTTGCGGTGGTTTTGACTGTCTTAAGACTCTGGCGACATCTTGCCTAATTAACTATGATAATATATATATGATAATGAACTCATAATATTTCAGCATACCATCTTTCCGATACATAAGTCAGCATACTGAATAAAGGATTTAACCATGCAATAGCTCCAAAAAGAGTACCCGTCGAAGAGATCGTTTCCAACGTCGAAGCAAGTCTTTCCACCATAGACGAACAAGATGCGATGGCCTCTCGTATAATCCTAGTCCTAAAATCAGGAATATTAGCTATTTGTTTTCAAGTGCCGAAATCAATTTTATGGCCTGTCTGAGGATTATACGAGAGACCATCGAAATAGAAAAGTCCGGACACCTCAATACGAGAGACGACGCTCTGCATTTATCCAACACGTGGAGAATGATAATCAAACAGCAGAGCGATGCGCAGCAGCCAACGGGGACATCGCAACTACGATCGGGCGAAATTAACAACGCCACAATTCAGGGGGCGGAGCCACCTCCTCCCACGCACAAGCAGCACCGTTACCATCTCCGGCGCAGAGTATAAATACCGCACGCACCGCCGATAACCTCCCAGTGTTCGAAGTGTTTTCGGAGCGCGAGCGTTGAAGATGCCAAGTGAGATTTTGGCGAAACGTCTGCAGGATTTGCAGGATTCTAGTCGGAGTTCAACGAGCGAACGGATGATATCCCGGAATATAGTGTCATCAAATTTTTCCATCCGTGAATCAATACGTGAGAATATATATATATATATATATATATATATATATATATATATATATATATATATATATATATATATATATATATATATATATATATATATATATATATATATATATATATATATATGATGACACTATATTCCGGGATATCATCCGTTCGCTCGTTGAACTCCGACTGGAATCCTGCAGACGTTTCGCCAAAATCTCACTTGGCATCTTCAATGCTCGCGCTCCGAAAACACTTCGAACACTGGGAGGTTATCGGCGGTGCGTGCGGTATTTATACTCTGCGCCGGAGATGGTAACGGTGCTGCTTGTGCGTGGGAGGAGGTGTGTTCGAAGTGTTTTCGGAGCGCGAGCATTGAAGATGCCAAGTGAGATTTTGGCGAAACGTCTGCAGGATTCCAGTCGGAGTTCAACGAGCGAACGGATGATATCCCGGAATATAGTGTATTTGTGACAATGCCGACAATTTTTTTTATTTGACAGTCACAGTATTAGCAATATGAATATGCCTTAAGAGTCGCACTTAATTCGTGGAGGTTATTACCACGACGTGTGTAAAACCTACTTTATTATAGAGATTAACGCTCTCGCCACACTTCTCCTACCACAGTTCATGCGGGGTCTATTTTTGGCTGCCTGGCATAAATCCAAAACAACGTTAGTAAAACCACTAGGGGCGATATTTCCGCTTCATTCTTTCGGAGATTCGTTTTAGAAATTCGACAGAACGAAAACGCCAAAATCGAAATTGAATCTTAGCGTCGGGAAAAATGGAAATCTCGTCGCGTAATGTCGCGTTATTCTTCGCTTTCGTCGCCTGCAACTATTTTTGTTTCGCAAAAGACAACATACGCGTGGGTGAGTAGGAATTAACTTTCGTTTCGCTACCACTTTCCCTCGCTAGGCGACGTCCATTTCCTAAACTTTTCCTTAAACTTCTTTCAGGGGCATTTTTCAACGAAGAACAGTTAACCGTGCCCATCAATTGGAAAATAATGTCGAATCACAGCGATCACGCCGTTATAGCGCAGCCCGAAACGCATATTGTGCCAGACACGGACCGATTCGAATCTGTAAATCGCTGTGAGTAAATTGCATTTAGATAAAACAACAAAAAATAACCACCACAATTTTGCATGACTTTTTCAAATTCAAAGAGTTCGTTTTACTTTATTTGAGTAATTGTGAAAAAAAGAGCGGTTTAAAATCAAGAATATCTTCAAAAATAAGTAATTTGGTGTATAATGCGTCAACTTTACAGGACAATTTTACGATTTACCAATAAGCGATCCTTTTTACAAATGATGAAGATAGCATACATGTACGGTTTTCTATCAACATTAAAAGAATTAATAAATTAAAATCTCATTTCATTGAAACATTATTTTTATTAGTACAAGAACAAAAACCGAATTAAAAAATTTAAATTAAACAACATTTTTTAAAGAAACTTCCACAGGCTACTGTAATTTATAAAATTTCTGGATTCACTCTGCGTCGGTTTTTGTTGAGTCGAATTAGCGAACGTTTCGCCAATCATCCTGTTGACTTCTTCAGAGCTTGACTGAAACTAGCGCAATTTATTCTGTACCTGCTTTTATATTGTTTGAGGGGGCTTAGCTAAATGAGAGACATAAACACCGCCTCGGATGACTGATTCTCATATTGCTGACAAGTAGAGACCTGAGTCGCGGATAAGATTGTTAGGTTGCTAATGAGTTTATTTGTCTTAGTCTTAAGGCTCTTTCATGTTCTTTGATCCTAGTTGATATTTTTCGTCCGGTCTCTCCAATGTATTCTTTGCCGCATATGCATGGAATTTTGTCTTTGACGGATCGAAGGTTTTGAGAGATTTTTGGACAAGTGCTAAATCTGGTTTTGATATTTCTTTATAACTTTTAATATGTGGAAGCAACAGTGGCAAGTGTGGGATTGCTTTCGTGCTCATTTCTATTGGAAGGTTTTGGTGCAGTGTATTTTGGGATGGAACGCTTAATATCTTTAATGTGGCAATTATTAGAGAAAAGAGCACAGGTAATGTGTTTCAATTCTGGGTTCAAGGACTCTGGCTGAGATAGTTTTACGGGTCTGTAAACAAGAGAGCTGATAACCGATGCTTTTTGGACTGGTTGGTGATATGACAAATGCATTAAGGTATCGGCCTGTGTGCCTAGGTTTTTTGTAAGCACGGTGACCCAATGTTAGGTCTGATATTGATAAGAATATCTAAGAATGGGAGGTTGTTATTAGTTTCTATTTCAATGATAAAACGTATGTTAAGGTTTATAGATTTTAAATATTTAAGAAAATCTACTAGGGATTCCATAATTTTGGTTTTTGATGGAAGGTGTCGAGATCTTTCTTCTCATTTTTCTTCATAAATATATTCGCGATGACTGGTGATAGTGGAGAACCCATAGCTGTTCCCGACGTTGGTTCAAAAATTTGATTTTAATGTATCTGAAATGATGGTGAGAGTTTCTGGAATAACAACTTGAGTAAAGAGGGATTCTACGTCGAAACTAACCAAAATATCTTGTGTATCTAATGTAATACTTTTTATATGTTCAATGACGTGAAAAAGAATTAAGTATGAAACTGTCAAATTTCCCTATTAAGGGTTTTAATAAGGAAGCTAGATATTTTGCTAGTGAATATTTTGAAGAACCAATGGTGCTGACAATAGGTCGAAGGGTGGACAGTTTTTTCACGGAGTCTGATAGAGAAAAAGCCTTATTCATAGATTTAAGGTTGCGTTCCATAGATGACATAGAATCTCTTTTAAGTTGACGATATGATCCGTCTGTAAGAATATCTTGAATCTTTTCCTGATATTCATGTGTGTTCATGACTACCGTAGCATTTCCTTTATCTGCTTTTAGGATGACGATGAGAGACCGGACGAAAAATATCAACTAGGCTCAAAAAACATGAAAGAGCCTTAAGACTAAGACAAATAAACTCATCAGCAGTTGCCGAACACAACCACGAAACGGGACATCAAATTTTATTCGCAAAAACTAAAATTCTTGCTTGTAATCAATTCTTCTACCAACGAAAAATACGAGAGTCTATAGAAATCTATAAGCAACCTAACAATTTTAATCGCGACTCGGGTCTCTACCTGTCGACAATATCGGAATCAGTCATCCAAGACGGTGTTTATGCCCGTCATTTAGCTAGGATACAAAGTGGGCCGGTAAAACATAACTAATTTTCGGTAAAGTTTGTGGACTGACGAATCAAATTTTTCAAATTTCGGAATTTATAATCTAAAAAATCATCATTATTCCTTTACCTTTAACGTTTGGTGCGGTATAATTGGTTCTCTCATTGTTGGTCCATATTTTTACGATCACACGCTGACCGGTGAGCGGTACATTTCTGGATAGTTTTCTAGATGAGCTTGATCCCATAAGCAGGCAGAATCTCCATTTCCAACAAGATGGCGCACCGCTTCATAACTACTCAGGCACATATCAATTTTTGGTAACCATTTTCAACAATAAATGGACTGCTACAGATGGACCTATTACTTGGCCTCCTAAGTCATCAGATATAACCCCATTTGATTTCTACTTGTGCCGTTATTTAAAGGACGAACTTTATAAGCAAAGAAGAAAGAAACACGTTGACGATTTTAAGGTGCAATAAGAGAAAAAATAAACCAGATATATGGTGGAACAATACTAAAGGCAATTCGCTCAATACAAAAACGTGCTCAAAATTGTATTAAAGTTCTAGGTGCTGTTTTTGAACACCTTCTGAAATAACTTTAATAGGCTTTTTAGTTTTTTTTCTATTTTCTAATATAGAAGGGAAATGTGATGATAATTACTTTCAATTCTATGCTAATATTGCATATGACTTTTTTTGTTCTCATTATTTGTTAATATACATTTAAAAAGAGTACATTTTCATCACTTTTTCCTAGACCCTACATTCAATTGTTTTTATGTTCTCACCATCGTAATCACTGGAAAAATGCTACTGGTTTGCTAATTTAATCAACTTTGTATCTTTACTCATAACAAATTACAAATGATGAACATTTAATTTAGATCAGTCTGTATATACTACAATGCTTGTTTGCTAATCGCCAACAATTTAAGAAATGAACTACTCTGTTGTAATAAGCCAGTAATAATTTACTTTAAACATAATTCCGTTTAAAACAAATACGCAATACATTAAATATAGGAAAAAAAAATCGTTGATGTTTTAACTAAAAACTAAAAATTTAAAAACAAATAAATATCAAAATATTTGCAAACGTACATAAAATATCTTAATAAAATCTTAAATGCGTACGCCGCTGTGCTTGCAGAGCCTATTTATATTATTTTGAGAAAATCTTTGGACTCTGCCACACTCCCAACCCACTGGTTATCCGCAAATGTAACACCGATTTATAAAAAGGGTGATAAACTCGATGTTTTAAATTACCGCCCTATCAGCCTAGTGTGTATTACGTGTAAAGTTCTTGAGTGCTTTATAGTAAATCAGCTGTTACTCAAAAGTGCTCTGTTCTGCATGTTGGTAAGAACAATCCCGGTTTAAACTATTATATCAAGTGTCGATTCTCAGATGGATCTAGTTGTGACAGTAACTCTTGCGTGGTCTGTACATGTATCAAATATTGCAAAAATCCAAGTCCTCGCATCGCTTGCAGATTTTTTACCACTTACATTGGCCCCATCCTGGAATTTACTTCCAAAGTCTGGAACCCTGGCGTGACTGTGATGTTCTGGAAAGAGTGCGACGAGCCGCTACGCGCTGGCCACTTCAACTTAGACATACGAGCTTGGTCATCTATTTAAAATAAGAAAGGAACAAATGTTGTGAGTGCGCCGAACTTGTCGGTATTTAAATGTCGTTTGGATAGTGTATTGCTTCACAGCAATAACTTAATATTTATTATATGTATAACATTCTCATGCTACTAACTATCAATGTGCATAATAGGTTCTCCTCCGCACTTTGTTATTTGTAATAATAATAATAATAAAATGTTATATTTTGATTAGGTAAATTGTACAAAAGAGTTGATATAATAGAAAGCCGACCATTTAAAATCGCATCATTTTTCTGAGTGTATTTACAGATTATTCACCCAACCCGTTCATTTTCAATTTTTGGGGATATGTTAAGAGCTCAGAACACTTTCTTTTTAAAATATTGTATGCTTTTCAAAGAAACTGGCACAGGCTACTGTAACACTATTTACAAAACTTTCGGATTGCTGACGTTTCGCCAATCACAGGCTTCTTCAGAGCTTAACTAAAACATTGTTTAGAAAGACTGATTCCCATATTGGTGAAAAGTACAGACCTAAACCACGGTTTAGATTGTTTTGGATGTTGAAGAATTTGCGAAAGAACAATTTTGAATTTGTTAAAGAATTTTAGTTTTATCGGCATCTGTTGATGAGTTTATTTGTTGTAGTCTTAGGGTTCTTTTACGTTCTTTGAGCTTAGCTGATATTTTTCGTCCGGTCTGGTCTGCCCAATGTATTCTTTGCCGCATATGCATGGAATACCGTAAACATCTGATATCTCAAACGGAATTTTGTCTTTGACAGATCAAAGATATTGAGAGATTTTTGAAGAAGTGGTAAATCTGGTTTTGACATATTTCTTAAGAACTTTTGATATATGGTCAGTGATGTTTTGAATGTAAGGAAGTACAACAGTGGCAGTTGTGGGGTTTCTTTGTCTTTGGAAGTTTGTGCTGAAGTGTATTTTGTGATGGAACGCTTATTATCTGTGATGTGGAAATTATTAAAGAGAAGAGCAGATGTAAGGTGTTTAGTTACTCGGATTGAGATGATGATTTAAATGATTTTATTTTATATTTTATGAATTCTTGACCATGAAGTAAAATACCAAAAGTATCATTAACGTAACGTTTTAATAATTTTGGTTAGTTGGATTAGATGGGATGGATGGATGTCGAGGGCCTTCTTCTCAAAGGCTTAAATAATTATATTCGCGATGAGTGGTGATAATAAAGAACCCATAGCTATTCCTGGCGTTTTTTCATAAATTTGACCGTTACAAGAAAAATAGGTTCCAGACAAGCATTTCTCAATTAAGAGGAGCACCTTCAGGTACAGAGTAGAATCCATACCATTTTCAGTTACCCTATGAAGAAGCTAACATTATGATTGGCGAAATCCAGAAGAAAAGTAAATTATTATTTTGTAATTCATGAACTAGTGAACTAGTTTTTAACTACACGTTCTTGAAAGTTTAGAGAAGCAACTAACGTTTTTCGCCAAAGAATAATAAATAATTGATTCAATTAAAAAAAAATAGATTTATAAATTAACAACTAACCAAAACTTAGTTATCACAAGCACGAGGTACAAGCTCAAATATTTTTAGGCGCATTGTTTCATTTTTAGTTTGCGAATTCTTCAGTAAAGATGATGGATTTTCCGCCATTTTTGGACCAAAGTCTCTAGCGGCGTCGGCTACTTTTGAGTCAATATGTTTCCACCTGCAAGTGCCCTACATCACCACCACGTGGAAACCCAAAACCATGAAACACTTCCCCACGTCTTTCAACTTGTATCCGGACGCTGACCTTCTGTCCCAAGTAAGTATACATGAAATTCGTTGTGTAGTCTACATTCTTCTGCATATGTTATTAAATTTCTCTGCTAAAAACTGTTCCACAAATGTATGTAGAGTGAGTCAACCATAGAGAAGAGTTCACTTATTATATATTATTATTATTATACATATTAAAGTTATGAGAAAATGGTAAATACAAAAGTTATAGTGATTATTAAGATGTACAATCTAAAATGATTTTATTGAATAGAGCGTGACTCAAAAAAACCTGACGAATAAAACATGGAACTACCTACATGGAACTACCCACTTTTAAATTTCAATACTTCAATTTTTTTTTATTAGTGATAACACATAATACCTAAACCTAATAATTTTTCCAATATTATATATTATTATTTTTTCTAAAAGATAAATTCATAAAATTTATTGTGGTGTCAGTAAGTTGAAATTTTCGACCCTTTTTAAACTTGACCATATCTTCTTTGTTTATGAAAATTTTGGATTTGGATAACGTGCATTATTGGGGCATTTTTTAAAAGAAATGAAGTAGCGTACTTAGATTTTTCTTACAATTCTCCGTTTTCTGATAAATGAATACGCAACTTTCTCATTTTATATGACAATCACCAATATGGATTTGTTGATATCTGTGATAAAAAAGGCGGAAAGGTAGGGCATATTTTGTTCAAAAAGACGTAACATAGAAACCATGTAATGTAAGTGAAAAAAATGAAACCTAAGAAGAAGAATTTTAATATTTTTGATTATATAAAGAACAAAATTATACTTGTTTTAACCTAACAGCCAAAACACAATAAATTCTAGAAACTATTCATTTACAATCCGTGTGTTATCAGCGGGACAATCATCTGCTGATAATGGCAAGTCTTCACAAATTTTGCAACACATGTTCGCAAAATATTGATATAACCAATCTCTGCCAGATTAATACACTAGATATCAAAATGTCATTGGCAGATTTGAAAATTCATAGCTTACTATGGTTTTTGTTAAATATTTCGAATTCGAGAGAATACAAATACAACGTGTGATACATCAATAAAAAGGTAATAATACGGGCTATTCAACACTACAAAAATCCAATATGGCGACCAAAGGAAAAAATAGAGTTGATGATGACCTGAAAATAAGTTGAAGTGTAAAAAGTTCCAATGAGAATTTATTTACAAATTTTTGACAAACTTAAAAAAAAAACATAAAAAATTAAAAACGAAAACTGGAAGTTTCAGATTTTTCATCATATTTCCGCGATATAACTTCAATTTCAAAACGGAACATTATTGAACTCACCAATGCGCCTCACTCTCACTCACCGTGTCACTTTGCCCTAATTTAATAATGTTATGTTACCGAGATCCCAATGGTGAGAGTCGAATTTGAAACTCCCGGTATAGGCAAAAAGGCTCCACAGGGGCATTTTTAAAGACCATAACCAACCATCTTAAAGCGCAATACAGTACTTTACGTGCGAAAATTAAATCTATGATTGCCACATCCTACAACAACTATGTGACTAAGGCAGAAAATTCAATTGCTGCTGATCCCCAGATATTCTGGTCCTTTGTTAATGCAGAGCGCTCCTCGACGCCGTTGCCTGAGGTTATGTCCAATGAGAGTGTGCAATACTCGGACCCACAGGATATTGTTAACGCATTTGCCACATTTTCTGGAGATGTCTATATGGTACCAACCACTGAGAACATCTCTGTGAACAAAACAAAATTCAATTCCTGTATTAGCATAAGCTATCTCTCGGATGAAGCTATTTTAAGAGCAGCAAAGAAGTTACAAAGGCTATCCAGGGACCAGATGTTGCCAGAGATTGTATTAATGTTTTCCTTAGACCTATCGCTTAGATATATAACCTCTGTCAAGCACCTTCCCTAGAGTATGGAAAGAGGCCAGAATAACTCCTGTATTCAAGAGGGGCTGTGTAAACGATATTACTAATTTCAGACCCATTTCCATCCTATCGGTCTTCACTAAAATTTTTGAGTCTTCTGTGTACGAGTGCATCTATGGACAAGTGAAGCATGTTATTACCCAAAAACAACACGGATTCTTTACCAATAGAAGTACTGCCAGCAATCTAACATGTCTTACTCAGTATATTGGAGAGGCCCTAGACAATAAATCTCAAGTTGATATACTATACACAGATTTTTCTAAAGCATTCGACCGAGTTGACCGCGCTATCTTCCTAAAGAAGATTGAGGCAATGGGATTCAGCAATAAACTGGTAGACTTTTTTGCTTCATATCTACAGGATAGATATCAGTATGAAGAGATTCGTGGACACCGCTCTTCGAGGTTTATAGCCACAAGCGGGGCACCTCAGGGCAGTAATCTGTCTCCACTGATCTTCCTATTATTCGTTAACGACATAGCCGACTACATAACTAGCTGCGCCCTATTGTTTGCCGATGACCTGAAGCTGTTTAGGATTGTGGTGGACATTGCCGACTGTACAGCATTGCTGAGAGACCTGGAGTCGTTGAATAACTGGTGTGTGGCAAACAATATTCATCTGAATCCGGATAAGTGTTCTGTGATGACGTTTTGTAACAGACAGCCCCCAATAGTTTTTAACTACAGCCTAGAAACTACTCCAATTACCAGATCCACCTCTTTCAAAGACCTTGGCATTTTGTACGACACTAAACTGTCCTTTGCCTCTCATATTGAAACCATTTGCAAAGATGCAACAAGATCTATGGGTTTTATATTTCGTAACGCTAAAGAGTTTCGGAACATCCAAGCACTCAAAGCATTGTTTTTTAGCTATGTCAGATCCAAGATTGAGTACTGTGCGACAATCTGGTTCCCCATTCACGCTAAATATATAGACCAATTGGAGGGTATACAGAGAAAGTTCGTTAAATTCCTGGCATTTACACCTGACGCAGTGTTTCCGGCGCGAGGTACTGAACAGTCATTACTTTTGGAAAGATTTGAACTCCCGTTTTTAAAATGGCCAAGAAACTACCTAGCAAAATTGTTCTGTCCAGGGTTGACTGCTCGGAGCTCTTAATGCATTTACTCCTCCATGTTCCTCAAAGATCTGTCCGCAGTTCGCCGATTTTCCACCTGCCTACCCCAAATTTCCTTATAAAAACCCCCTTATACAATGCTATGTATCTTTTCAATGACCGTTGTAGTGATATTGACATTTTCAACCTCACTTATAATCAGTTATCAAACATTCTCAAAACAAAATTTTTTGTTTAGGCAATTGATATTGTATCACGCATAGGCACTAAGGTACGAGTACAAGTTTGAGCTCTTTAATTTGTTTATACATTTTGCTATATTGTATTTAAATGATGTATCATATGCTTGTCGGATTGTCCTGTAAATGGATGTAGAATCTGTTAGACCATAAATGATTATTATTATTATTATTATTATTATTATTATTATTATTATTATTATTATTATTATTATTATTATTATTATTATTATTATTATTATTATGATTGCCATTTTAAATAAGATTGTTGTATTTATTTATGAAAAAACGAAGAACTGTAAGAATCTGAGTACTCCACAGCATTTGCCGTAAAAATGTGCCATAATAATGTTTTTATTGGAATCCAAAATTTTTATCAATAAAAAAGTTATGGTCAATTTTCAAATGGGCCGAAAATTGAAAAACGGCCTACTTCTCGCTTGTTAGTGAAGATGATACTGTTTTAACCATTAAATATTTGTCAATAATGGCACCCTTGACAAGCAAGTCGATTTTGCTTTATCTAGTTCAGAAATGGGTTTTTCCTATTAAAATACTCCAATTAGATTGTTTTTAACAAGCAATTTTTTGTTTCCGCTAATGGGTAGGGACTAGCAACGATAATTAAAGGTTTGGATTGGAAAGAATTCGTGGTCCTTTACCAGAACGAGGAAAGCCTGATGAAACTGCAGGACGTCATCAAGCTGCAAGAACACAAGCAAGGTTCCGACAAGAACAGCATATGGTTAAAGCAACTCGGTCCTGGGCCGGATTACAGGTAAAAAACAACCACCAACACTTTGTTTGCGGTTTGCACTAAATCTCATATCAATTTTCGGATTTCTTTAGGCCATTGCTGAAGGAAGTAAAAAACTCTACACACAGAAGAATCGTGTTAGATTGCGACACTGACAAAATCGTGGAAATAATGAGCCAAGCCAAGCAGGTTAATTTATTGGCCGATATTTCGACAAATGTATTCCTTACATCCATGGTGAGCTGGTAACAACAGCAAATTAAATCATAACGCATCTTAATTGTTCGCTTTCAGGACGCTCACATAATTGACTTCTCCCCCGAACTAAATACCGGAGCCAACGTCACTACAGTTCGCTTATTCAGCCCTTATCAGAATCACTTCAAGAATATGATCAATAATTATTTCCCTGGAATTTCCCCAGAGGAAATACTCGTACGTTATTAGCAGATTTACTTATTAATATTTTAATACTCTTAATTACTTTTCAGGTCCAAACGGCACTGACTCACGATGCAATGGTACTGTTTTCGGAAACGATGAAATCTCTGTGGATCGAAAACCCTGAAACGGACTTTAGTTCATATTCCAAATTTTGCAACGCGACCAAGTACGAAGACGAATTGGGAATAGTCGCGCAAATGTCAAAGGTATCTTTAGCTTTAGATAAGCAAACTGACACCTGTATTGGCAGATCGCTACTTATACCGTTTTATCATCAGCATCCCAGTTTTCAATTTTTTCCTACTTTTTGTTCTTGGTCGCTCCCTTTTTCTTCTTTTCCAGTAAACCCATTCCAGTATTCGTGGAGGCCATATTAGATAATAATAATACCTTTATTATCTATCCCCATATTTAGAATACAAATAAACCCAAACTAGGTAGGTGCCAAGGGGCCAAGCACTGTACCTATCTGTCGAAGGCTTGGACTTAGAATTTTTTAATTTGACACAAGTTACCCATGATGTTCTCCCGTTCTTTTTGTACGTCCAAAGTCTGTGAGCTGTTTTTGATACTGTTCTTCCTAGTTCTATGCAATCTAGACTTTCTGGAGCTCCGTTTTAGAATATCCATTTCAGCAGAGAGAAGTTTACTACGGTATCTACCATTAATATCCCTTGTTCTGCTACAGTTTCAAATATGGTCTTGTATATTCCTCCTATATTCCTCCCTTAAACATATGACTTGTTTTCTCTTATTTGCCAGTATTCAAAGTTGTCTGTATTGATGGTTAGTCCTGTCTTCTGGTGACCATCTTTCATTTTGCTTATCTTGTAGTTGAAGTCATCTTGATTTGTGGAGCAAGCGTTGATGACAGACAACATCCCTGTCACCCCATCACCTTTGGAGATGATTAGAGCTGATGTAAAATGTTGTCCCGTTCATATTCTGGTGGAGTTTTCTTTGTTTCGTTAATTTAGAGATCTTGTAGAGCGTTCCACGACTCCGATATCGGAGCATTGTCGTAAAGCAATATGAACCCCTATTTCTCCAGATTCTTTTCTCGAGAGCTATGTTGTCCATTGTAGACCACAATGCTCTAAATTCAGCTTGTACCTCTGGTGGTTCATATTCTATTTAATTTTCTATTAAATCTGGTAGTAGTCAGGAATAGAGTGTAGCAATATTTTTGTGGAATATTTTTCAGTCATTTGTAGTGTATGGGTGTTAATGAAAAGTTGGCCATTCTCGTCAGATGAGTATGCCGTTAATACATCTCTCATATAGCTAACCTAACGTGTTGAAATGAATGAATTAGATTCTAACAAATCTGACCAGCTGAATCTATTGCGTGGTGGTCCAAATTGGTCTAAAAACAATAGAAAAAATCTAAAAATGGGAATGTCAAAGTTACCCGGCGTTCCGGGTTACTTTGACACAAATAACATCCAATTAAAAATCATGCATTTCTTTTTTTTTTTTTTTTTTGGTAAGGAAAAAAAGGTTTTTTTGTTGAAAAACTTTTTAAGGGACAAATGTCGTTACAAAAATAAAACGTTACTTAAATGTTCAAAATTCGGGAGAGCGTTTTTAAAAACATTTATTACACAGAGAGCGAAATAAAGTTTTATTCGAACTGGCCGTTACAAAGGTTGGAATAATTAAGAGCGTATTTTACAATATTACAATCGAATAAATAGGGCTTTTAATGCGGTGTCAGCGATGCGTTATCTTCGCTTAGCTTTGGGCTTCGTCGGCAGTTTGGGACATATAACTCCTCCCTCCTTAACTTTCGAAAATAACGGAGTGTTTTTTCGAAAAAACTTCAAGACTTTTCTCCCTGGCAGGTTTCTTCTTTGGATGCGATTTTCTTCAATTCTCGTACCTTTCCAAATAGGAGCTTCTTAATGATGAATACTAAAATAAGAACCATGATTATTACAAAAACAATAACAATTATTTGGAACGTATTCGTTTCTTCTTCCACTGGTTCCATGGAAGTTATTTTTTCTGTTAAGTCTCTCAGCTGCTATATTTCATCGATATTTATTTTTGAAAGACTGGGGGTATCCAGGACTTTCATTGCTTTCATTTCTGTCGATTGGATTTCTGGTAAAAATATTGGTTTTCCGAACTGGATTTTCACATCGTTGAAGAACTTTTCTTCATTAATTTCTATTTGACAGTTTACTGGTTTATTAATCAGTACTGGTACTTCGATTTGCATATATTGATCCATGTTATACTTAATTAGCAATTTTTCAGGTTTCTGTGGCAAAACAAGAACTAAATTTTGAGTGATTTGTTCTAGAATTGCCTCTGACAGGTTCATTTTCATAATTGGGCAGTTTTCCATTCCTATGTTGTCAAATAAATTCTCCACGCATACATCTCAGGGATGAGTTTCTTCTTTACAAAAGTAGATTTCTTCGATGACGGGACATGTTTCTGCGGTGAATTGTCTTTTCTTCTCCGCTTGTGCCATATAAGGGTATTGGGGTATAAAAATTGATTGATTTTGGATTATTGGGAAAATATGGTAAAAGGAAAATATTTTGGATCTTAAAATTGGTACATGGACTGCAAAAATCACTTTCGAGTCAACAAAATTTACCTGAGTTCCCAAAATTTGATAAGAAGATAAAATGTTTTTAAATTGGGGAATTTGATTTTCTTTATAAATTGATGCTAAATATTTAAGCATTTTATTCAAATCCGAAATCGGTAAAATACTATTATGAAGCGCATTAACTATTGCAAACATAATAGCGTCTTCTAGGTTATCTAGAAACATTATAATATTTTGGCAATCTAAGTTTAATTGCGTAATGATCCCGTGAAAACTAAAATAGTCTTGTAAAGAGTTTATCGTCATTAATACTGCATTTTGAAATGTTTTTAAACCAGTTTGTAGTTTTCGTTGATTTTCAATTAATTTCGCAATAGTTTTATTATAATTATTAATTATGCCCTTTGATAAAGATACTTGTAGTTCTAGTTCTTTGGCTAAATGATTTTGGTTTTTCTCAAGTGTATTTATTGCTGCTTTATAATAATTTCCGTCGTCAGCGTCGAGAGTTCCAAATAGCCATTTATTTATTTTACCAACCGCGTTAATTAAGCCTCGTTCCTTACGAACATGTGGATGTAAATTTTCAAGATTTTCCACCGTAATTTGTATTAAATATTCAGTTCTTAGAATTAAATTTTCGGCAAGTCCATAATAAGAAATATTATTAGTTATATTTTTAACATTATACTTATCTTTAATTATTTTAAATGCGTTCTCTATGCTTTCTACATGATTAATTATTTGGCTTAGATCTACATAATGGATAAATGTATGTTTGTTATAAATTAACTTCGCGTTACCTATCTGGATAGGAAGTATAGGATTTACGAGTTTGGTAACTTGTACGTCTGTCGTTATTATTCGTTCGGTTAGAACTGCTACGAGTAGAAGAGTAGAGTAGAAAGGTTTTTTTGTTGAAAAACTTTTTAAGGGACAAATGTCGTTACAAAAATAAAACGTTACTTAAATGTTCAAAATTCGGGAGAGCGTTTTTAAAAACATTTATTACACAGAAGGCGAAATAAAGTTTTATTCGAACTGGCCGTTACAAAGGTTGGAATAATTAAGAGCGTTTTTTACAATATTACAATCGAATAAATAGGGCTTTTAATGCGGTATCAGCGATGCGTTATCTTTGTCTTAGCTTTGGGCTTCGTCTGCAGTTTGGGACATATAACTCGTTTTACTTATTTTATAGTTTTAAAATTAAGAAACTCGAGAAAATATCCTAATCTGCGTTTTACATACCTATAAAAATAAATCAAATCAAAACAAAAAATGAAAATAAATACGTCCAAAACAGTAACAATAACATTTTCATTGATATGTACAGGAACTAAACCAAGAAAACATTTTCTAACTAAAAAACTAAATAAACTTCCTGATGCCGTAGGAGAAACGATAGCAAGAATTCTGAATCTTCTGTAGTCTATCGCAATCACCAGAACATCAGCCATATTAGCTTCGTGGTAATTGTATAAATATTTATTATCAAAACTACCTAATGCTTCCTTTATGTTCTCAAAAAACTGCCTCAACACTCAAACACTTTGCAAATTGTAATAAAGTTTACGAATCACTTCCTTTTCACCGCTGCTAAGAAGACTTGGATGACCTACCGACCGGTATACCGAGGGACTTATTACGAAGGGTTATGTGTGAATTTTTACAAACTATTGCTACCCTTTGGCGTGCTACTTTTAATAGCTTCAAGTGTTTTTTTTTAAGTCATCGCTAGAATAGTTTTGGTAACTTCGCGTTCCCGGAACTTTTTCCTAATGTCTTACCATGAAAGGAAAATTTAAAAAAATGATCCTAGTGTCCAAGTTACCCCTTGTTGTTAAAGTAGCCCCATATAAAATTCGGATTTATACTCTTCAATAAATTATAATTCTTAAATCAATTGAAGAACCAAAAAAGAAGTTCTTTGATCCATGATCAAGACTTTGGTTGAAAAGCGATGTATCTGCAAGCAAAACAACTTCTTTTACAATATTATTTGGTTACGAAAAACTATTTGTTTTGCTGTGCTCATGGTTAGCCCAGCAACCTTTTTTATTTAATAGTTTTAGAGTACCACTTGCACCACAATTATATTTGTTAGAATAGGAACGTTGAAAGGGACTTGATGTAAATCAAAATTGTAAGGCACTATTTTAAATTGGTCACTAAGAATGACTTTTATTTTTTCAGACTGTGGTGCAGGAAACGCAAGCTTTAACCGGCGAAATCAGCTTGGAAAACGGTAGAAGGACGATGTTCAAGCTGGAAGTGATCGAAGTTGACAAACCGGTGAAACCCATCGCCATATGGTATTCGAAGGAACCTAATAAACTTGAGCTTACAAGGAACGCGACGGAGCGGGAACTCGAACTACAAAAACGGATACAGAATCACAACTTTATAGTTACTTCCAAGTCAGTTTTTAATCATAAACGGTGGTGGGATGGGGTGGGATAGGGGTTGTAGTAAATATTTTGGGAATTTTTGCTGGGTATCTCCGTTATTTTTATAAATAGAAAATTGCGGTTTACGCGACAGTGTACCACTATTTCGCTAAACTAAACGGACCGTTAAAAAAATTTTCACAGCCCTTTCAGTTTTTAAGATACAGAGCTCAAATTAAAATATTACGTTTTCGGGCACCCGTTGCATCTAGCATATATCGCACATGTGAAAACTCTCTCTTATACAGGGCGTTCCACAGCATGATTGTCATAGCCTGGGAGTGTGTTGCTGGGGAGATTTCAAGTTAAAAATGTCAAATGAACATATACCCGGAACGCTATTCTCACTGAGCTTCAAGCATTTGAAATTTGAAATGCCATTTAAAAAGAATGCGCTTTATAGAATTAGTTGCTCCACTATTACTTTAGCCAGTTAATATTATTATTGAAAAGTCCAAGTGCCCATGATAGTCAGCATCAATTAAATTAATTTTACAATGTTTACTTTTTCGAATGAAGAATAGGCCGACATTCACTTTGTTTATTGATTGTGTAATGGAAACGGGCGAGCGGCAGTTGATGAATATCGTCGACGATTTCCCAATAGTAGAGTATCTTGTAGAACTGTTTTGAGCAATTTCCATCGATGTTTAAGAGAAACAGGCAAGTTCCCTACAGCTACTTCAACTGGAACTTGCTGAAGAAGAGGCAATACTTTATACGAATGATGCTCAACCTTCTAATAGTGTCCGAAGAATTGGTAATACACTTAAAGTGGGCTGGATGATGGTATCGAGAACTTTACACAATTTCTCCTACTTTTACGAGCTTTGAAACTGGCCGACTACGCTTCAAGAATTGAATTTAGTCGCTGGATATTCAGAAATGTAAGGATTTGTCCTGTAATATTATCGACACGGTATCGATAACACCAGTAAATCACATTGTTCGGCACTTAAAAATTTCACGACAAACTCAGGAATCGCATTTTCAAGATGGATTGTCGATGAATGTTTGGTTGGCATTATAATTGAAGAACGCGTCACGGCCATTCGTGATTTGAGTTTAATTGAAAATGATCTTCCAATATTACTATAACGAATGTGAATTCAGCACGATGGCGCACTTCCTCACTTTGATAGACAAGTATCAGAATTTCTTAATCAAAATTATACTAACCGGTGGATTGGCAGAGGTTTAGCAGTCCCTTGGCCAGCAAGGTCAAGTGACTTTAATGCCTTAGATTAATTTTTATGGGGAAGACTGAAAACTAGTTTATGCACAAAGCATTGAAAACAGAGAAACATAATTAAGGATACCGCAGCAACTATTAGTGCTGACTTCACTTCTAAGAAGACCTAGACTATGTATACAGCAACTGGGTGGACATTTTGAACATCTAATTCAATAGCGTTTCGATTACATTTGAAATTTTTAACTTGCAATTCAATCAATAATAGTATGCAATTTTTCTGAGAAGCAAGCAAATAAATGACAATTTTCGAAAATTAAATACATAATAGGGCTATTGTTTAGGACAACCAACAAAAACGAATGTCAAATATTCTCAGCGATTTTTGGGTCGACTTCAAGCAGTACATTCCGTTCTTTTGGAATTTTCTTTGATTATTACTTTGATCTTTTAATAATGGCACCCTATGAAAATGATGAAAAATATGATATGCTGGTATATTTTTTACAGAGAGTAAGCTATTTCCAAACGTGAAGAAGCTATGAAAATATCTATTATCATTATAAGTTCGTGCTTGTTAGATACGAGAATGAAGGCAACCGTTTTTATGAGATATTTGCTCTGTCTGGTTACGCAACAAATTTTGTATAAATTTGTCTTTCTAAAACTGTATTACCCAAATCGTTCTCGTTCATCGTACTTCTTTGTTGCTCATTGAATATTTACCCAGTTCGTAAACTTTCCTTCCTGGAGGATATAACATTCCTTGTGGAGGATATAACGCGATATAACAAGAGTTTTGAACCCTAATTTGCAAATACGTAATCGGCTCGTACGGGAACTCCAAACTACAAAGTGAAGTAAGCAGGTGAAAATTTATTGGAAAAAATTTAAAGGTCTCCCAGAAGTAAAAGATGAAAAACAAAGTGACAAAGTGCAACTGGGTTTTTGTTACACTGTCACGGTCAACAATATTTAAATTACAATAACCAGAATTGTAAAAAAGTCTCGATAACAAGCAGCACATAAATTAGCCAAAAAAATTAGGAGAATTGCAACAAAATACAACGTCAAAACCTCCTTTCGTTGTGGCCAAACTATAAAAAATTTAATAACGAAAACAAAACCTGAGATCGTCACTGACAACAAAAACTGCATATATAAAGTGCCCTGCTAGTGTAGCAAATCTTACGTAGGCGAAACGAAGCGAGCACTGGATGTGTGAATAGCCAGAACACAAGAAACATACCCAAGGTGGAGAAACAAGTAGATCTTGTCTCGCAGAGAATACTTGGACAGAACATCACAGGTTCAAATGGAAAGACGCCAAAAGGAAACTCACTCGAAGAAGAGAAAGGTCACAGAAGCTGCCTTCGTCCAAAGCAACAACATATTTAGTCATTCGAGCGTAGAAATCCCAGCGCTGTCGCAACATCTACTGCTACGTGTCAAGAACTTTGACCTTGAGTACCTTCGATCGTAGCGCTCAGTTTTTACTTGATAACAGCTAGCGATAGTTTTTAGTCAGAACGTCCTGTTTAAAAACGATTTTACACAATGGGAGTTTGAAACCTCAGTACTGACCACAATTAATGATGACAAAGAAAATAAATATGTCGCCCATTGTTGCCAACCTCATATGCCCAAATTAAATTGTGTAAATATAACGTTGGATTGCGTTTTAGCGCATTCATTACGGACTACCCTATATACTTATACATAAAGTTGACGATGAATACACTATTTTTTAATTGTAATAAATAATTTTGAATTGTAGGTAGCTGAAGAAACATTTTTGTGTATTTATGTGGTGTGTTTAATGATAACTACCACATTTTTATTCCTTATTACTTAAAATAATCAAATAAAACAGAATTCTTAAAAATTGGATTCCGTGGGATTCTAATTGAACTCTGTGGCATTCCGAGGAATTATACGTAAAAAAGACATTACGATGTACACCCTTAGTTCTGCTTTTTATCCTCCATAATATTCGAAATATCTTGAACAAATTCCTTATTACTAACAATTAAAATTATCATAAGCTATCGTATCGAATTACTTTGCAGTCACTGTATGTACAGCTATTTTCATAAAAAACTGATACGGCATGAAAATTTCACTTTATATTTTGAGCTGTATACACATCATGCTGTCGTATCGCATTTCGACAAAACAAGATGCGTTTTGACTTCCAATATGGGATTTAAAGACTGGTCTATGGAAACATTTTCAGTAATAAAAATTAATACGTATATTTTTGAGAATTGAGTGTTTTTTCCTTGTGGATATCGATTGGTTCAGTTTAGCTGTTTCGTCAACTATTTTAGCCAAAGGCATAAGAGCGCTTCATAACTACAAGCAAAGTGTATTTACTAAATCACTTATTTTACTAAAGTGTAAAAAATAATAATAATAATCTTTATTTATACAAAGTTTGTATAAGAAATTCTGAATATATATATATATATATATATATATATATATATATATATATATATATATATATATATATATATATATATATATATATATATATATATATATATATATATATATATATATATATATATATATATATATATATATATATATATATATATATATATATATATATATATATATATATATATATATATAATGACGCATAATCCAAGCCTAAACAGTAATCTATAAACAAGGAAGGAAAAACAATAGCTAAAGTACTCTTCTGCTGAGTACAGGCATTTAATCACACGACATTCGTTTAACATTTTTTTAAATGAACTTAAATTATCACATATTTTTATTTCTTTTACTAAAATGTTTAACTGTGATGTTAGATGTTATATTCACTCAGTTAAAATTACTTCACAAAACTAAACCTAATTTAATTTGAAACCACATAAACACACATTTCAAACACATTTAGACTATACAATGTCAAAATATTAAAAAAATTAAAATAGGTTTTACAAGAAGAAGATTGGACCACGAAACCACAAACACATTAGTCGAATCATTCGACCATCCTCACAAAATTAGACCAAACCTAATTCTACTCTCAACAAGAGCGTAATAATGTGTGATTCTTTTAAAATATCCTTCGGTTATGTAATAAATAGATGTTGGCTACCAACCCTGTTACCAAAGAAGGACAATCAGTTTTAAAATTCATGTTTTTATCTTGAAATATTCCAAAAAACTTTACATCAAACCTATCGCAAATCTTCAGTATTTATGTGAAGCGAAAAGTCTCTACGTTGCTTTTGACTATGATGGAATCTTATAAAATATGTTTTTAATGGATTAACGTATAAGTTATTATCATTAAACCAAGAGTTCCCGTCGTTCAAAACTACGTTATATTTGTCTTCCGGGCATGAATCACACCCACCCGTCATAAATATCGTAAAGTCATAAGCAAACTTTTTGAAAGCGGTAAAAGAAGATAAAAAGAACTCCGCAAGACATTGCAAGACATTTTCCCGCACAAGACCCCAACAGGACACTCGTCGAACTGTATATAATTAACAATATCTTCCAAGAACAAAGTATCTACCGAACTCGTTATCAGATAGTATTTTATTGTTTTCAAGATACAATAAATGTCGTTGCAAATTTGCGTACTCAAACAATTTCGACAAAAACATGATGACTGTAACCGATCTGTGATTGTTAGTATTTGTTTTACTACTTTTTTATATAATGGAATAATCTTTCCGCTTTTGTGGCTCGAAGGAAATTCTCCTTCACCAGAGGATACGTTTACTAGATGGGTAAATCGCTTATGATGAATATTAAGACGTGCTTGATGAAAAAAATTGGGATATCATCACATCCAGCAAAACGTTTATTTTTTAGCTTTTTAATAAGTAAATCTTTACTGTGTTAACGTTTATTTATATTAAAAATATGTTTAGGTTTAATAAATTGTAACAAATTTAGAAGATGGTTGACACTTATCAGCAGGATCCAACATTTTAACATAAACAGGAAAAGAAGAAACACTTGTCAGTTGTACAATATCATGTGTAATCTCCATCCGCATCAGTTACAGCTTAAATTCTTCGGCTCATAGTTATGAAGTTTTCTTCAAGCGACAATTCTTCCCATACTGTCTGAATACCTCGCCACAGCTCCTCGCTGCTTTGAGGCATAAAATTTCTTCTTCTGGAGTTCTACAATATTTCAATAAAACTAATCAAAACTAACCAACCAATCTGGAATCCGCCATTCCACTCCCATTCCCCTGGATAAAATCCATCCCCATATATTAACTCTTCTCTACACTTTGAGTTTACAGCTTTTGGAAGACTGAAAGATTTTTTCATAGGAAAATATGATTGAAAATCAAAAATAAGTCGTGCTTGCTTCTTGTTGGGGAGTGAGTACGGTCTTTTTAATCGCAGGTCAGCACTTCAGATGAGACGCCTTTATTTTTCACCAAACAGAAATTTTGCATTCTTCACGCTTTGAAAAGGGTCATCCACGACTATCTTCTTGAACTGAACTAACTGTTTGTCTGCTAGGTCCCCTTTTGCTTTCAAACGTTTCGTTTTGTCTCTCTTTATTAATAGAAAAAACGACTGTTCTGCTTACTTTAAAATGTTGAGCTACTTCTGACTGGGTCACAATTCTTGCCTTTAACTCCCTGCTCGTATGCGTATTGTCAGTGACATAATTGTAAATATCAAAACAATATAGTTTGCGTGACGAAATAGTGGTCTACTGCTCAAAATATTGAAAAAAAAGTGCTTTAAGAGTATTATCAGTTTTTTATGAAACAAGTCTTAAAAACGGGACTTAAATAGAAATTTTACATAATTTAAGGTTAATCGAGCCATATTTGATGGATACTTTCAAAATCGGGGCACCGGAAAACGAGCGGTACGAAGGATACTCCATGGACTTGATAACGGAAATTTCGAAAATTCTCAATATGACCTTTAGGTTCGTAATCAGAGACAAAACGCCCACTATAGTAGAGGATTTGGTACTGAGGGTAAGTTCCAGCCTTCCGACCGCTTCTCGCTGCTTATGTGTCGATGTTTTTAGCGGGCCGATTTGGGTATTTGTGATTTCACCATAACGCATCAGAGACGAGAAATTATAGACTTCAGCATGCCTTTTATGTCACTAGGTGAATTTATGACGTGCGCGTTCTCTTAAAATTGCATTAAAATACCGCCATTTTAGGTATCAGCATTCTGCACAAAAAAGTACAGCAAGAGGAAATTGACAACATGTACGCATTTATGAGGCCCTTTTCTTGGACAGTGTGGGTTTATACGGTCACCCTTTATCTTATTCTTTCGATTATAATATTTTTCGTTTCGAGGTACTGCGAATTGGGGAACACGATACTACCATTTATTTCAATCGCTTTTCAGGATGGATCCGGACGACTGGGAAAATCCTCATCCTTGCGACCAAAATCCCGAAGAACTTGAAAATATCTGGGGAATTAAAAACTGCCTTTGGTTGACGTTAGGATCGATCATGACCCAGGGCTGTGATATTTTACCCAAGTATGCCGTCACTTTGACATTTACAGACTACACGTGTAGGAAGCCAGCATTACGTCTTGTGAATGTTGTATGATTTATGCGGCACTCTATTCGGGAAATCCCTTTTGAAAGTTTTCTTGATGCATTTGGTGTAAATTTTTTGTCGTTAAAGAAAAAAATGTGGTTTATAAAAAACAGTAATTCTTCATTACAAAAATTGGAATTATCACTTCTTAAACCTTGCACTTTCTCAACATGTAGTTAAAGAAATAAAATTCCTGGCTCACCAAAAATAAAACTGTAAAAAAAATATATGCCTGTTCTTCTTCAAAGCTTAACTGAAACTGTCTCGCAGTCTACTGTGTACCTGCGTGTATATAGTAAATGAGAGGCAGGAATATTGTCTCAGATGACTGATTTCCATATTGGTGAAAGGTAAAGACCTGAGTCGCGGTTGAGATTGGTTGCTTACAGGTGCTCGGATTTTTCGTTGGTAGAAGAATTGATTTATTACATGCAAGAATTTTAGTTTTATTGTATTCGGCATCTGCTGATGAGTTTATTTGTCTTTCATATGGTTTGAGCCTATATTTTTCGTTTGATCTCTCCAATGTATTCTGTGCCGCATATGCATAGAATGCTGTAAACGCCTGGTATCTCAAACAGTGCTTTGTCTTTGACGGATCGTCAAGAGATTTTTGGACATGTTTTAAAGTTACAGTTCTTAAAAACTTAAGAATGTTAGATCTCAGTTTCTTTTATTGATAAGAATATTTAAAAAATGGAGATCATTATTAGTTTCTAATTCATTGGTAAAACGTATGTTAAGATATATGGCTAAGATAATCTTTGAGAGATTCTTGACCGTGAGGTCAAATAACAAAAGTATCATCGATGTAACGTTTCCATAATTTTGGTTTTAGATGGAAGATGTCGAGAGCTTTCTTCTTAAAGGCTGCCTTTCAATATATTCGCGATGACTCGTAATAATGTTATAAGAAACATATGTTCATGACAAGCATTTTTCAATTAAGATGAGAAGATTTAGTTATTTAGATTTAAGTTAGACTTACACTATCAGAGAAAAGTAGAGCAACATCTTAAAAAATAAGATATATGAATGAATTGAAATTATTTTGACATTAGTTTTAAATGCTTATTAGCGACGCGTCAAAAATAGAGCAACATTTCTAAAATTTGTTCAAAAAGAAGCTTTTAGTAAAAGTAAATGCAAAAATAACTCGTGTTGGGTTTATTTTGTGCTAAGTTATCCATTTGTGTGCATGACTAGTTATGCCAAGATGAATTCCAATTTCAAAAGACCTAAAGCAATGAGTAGTAAATGTATTTATGGAAGGTGCCAATCAAGCTGATATTTCAAGACAGTTTATGTTACCTCGGTACAGCGTATCTAGAATAATTTCATCGTATAATGACGGAGGATACTTAGAAAAATTGCCGAAATCGGGAAGACCCAAAAAAACAACGGTTTTGACTGACAGGCGCATTAAAAGAATTGCTCAACAAGATCCTTGGAAGTCCACACCCCGAATAATTACCGAAATTCCAGAAATTATGGTTGGTATACGAACTGTGCAAAGAAAATTCAGCGATGAAATGCGATATAAAATATTCAATTCTTATGAAATGCGACGTGTGAGGCGACCAATTAATACAAGGTTTAACCCTAAGTACGTAATACCTACAATTAAACGTAAAGGCAGTGTTTTTCTATGGGGATGTTACTCATGGTCCTAGGTCCTATACACTTCATTAATGAGACAATGGATCGATTTGTTTATAGGGAGTTTATGCAAAATGTTCTGCTCCCTTATGCAGAGTGGTAAATGCCGTTACGTTTTATTTTCCAACAGGACAATGATCCAAAACACTCTTCACAACTCGTTCAACAGTGGTTTGCAGAAAACAATGTTAGAGTTTTGCAGTGGCCGGCACAGTCGCCAGACCTTAACCTAATTGAAAATCTCTGGGAAGAAGTAGAACGTCGCATTCGTACACAAATGTTTCCAAATAAACAATCGTTGATAAATAAAATTAATGAAGTTTGGACAAATCTTCCAGAAAATGTCACTCAAAAGTTGAAAGAGTCAATGTCGCGCCGTTGCAAGCAGGTAATTCTCAATAATGGATATTCTATAAATTATTAAGGCATAATTTTAATTATTATTATTGTACTAAAATGTGTGTTTAATGTTTTTTCTTTTAAATAGAATGCAATACAATGCTGTTAAATACAACTTTTTCAAATAAAACACTGTTAAATACAATTTGTTGCTTTACTTTTGTCGCCTTCATTTTCGTCAAATTTTATATTAATTATTATTTAGCTTTCACCAACTAACTTAAGGTACACCCAAAATGTTGTGAAAAATTGCTTGCTATGCAAGGAAAGTATTTTATCATAACTAGCAAAAAATATGAACCAAATTTTCTTTTATTTAAAAAATACTAAAAAAATATGTTTACTTTTGTCCGATAGTGAGAAATTTTTCGTCGAAACTAACCAAAATATCCTGTGGATGTAATATAATGGTTTTTAATTGTTCAATGAAATATAAGGAAATAATTACAAAAATATCAGCTTTTCCTGTAAAGGGTTTTAATATAGAAGCTAGATATTTTGCTAGAGAATATGTCGGAGAACCAATGGTGCTGAAGGGTTAATCCTGGTTTGTGAATCTTATGGAGTCCGTGAAGACGAGGAATTTTATAATTTTTTACGGATTCTGATAGAGAAGAAGCCTTAATAGCAGATTTAACGTTGTGTTTCATAGATGACGTAGGATCTTTTTTTTGATTGACGGTTGCATCCGTCTGTAAGAATATCTTGAATTGTTTCCTCATATTTACTTATGTTCATGTCCACCTCATTTCTTTGATCTGCTTTTAGAATTACGGTGCACAATGTTTGGTAGTTAAGAAGAGTTTGATAGTTTCACTAATGTTGACATTACTTTTCCAAATTTTTAAACGTGATTCATGTTTGAAAGGATATCAAACTCGGATGGGGACAAGATGAAAGCAATTTCAAGATGCAGAAACAGAAGAGTATTATTGATTTGTTCTATTTTCTTACGGAAATTCTGTGCCGAAATAAAGCAAAACTAACATTATGATCTCTACAACGTAACATAAAACCGTAAATCAAGTTTTATTGGATAAAACAAAAATTCTTGCAAACAAACAATCTTACCCGAGGCTCACCAATATGGGAATCAGTCATCCAAGACAATGTTCTTGCCCCTTCTTTAGCTACGCCCCCTCAAAGAATATATAAGCATATATAGAGTAGGATGCGAGCCAGTTTCAGTTTGACTCTGAAGAAGCCAGCAGGATGATTGACGAAACGTCAGCAAGTTAAATTCATCAACAACCGACGCAGGAGGAATCTAGATAAGTTATTTTCGAACTTTAATTATGTTCATAAGTTTTCTTCCATATCCCGTACTTTTTAATAATTCTGCGTTGGTATTTTTTGCTGTCCTCAGTGTTGCTTGGTAGAGCCACATTTCAAATGCTTCAATCCTCTTTATCGTCTGAGCTTTAAGTGTCCAAATCTACTTCGTACAACAAAGAACGTTGCTGCATGTTTTATTAGCCCTTTTCTAGCAATTTCAATTCTAATTTTCACTAACTCATTTTGGTCAAATTGTGAGTTGATATATTCAGAAAAATTCAGAAATAAACAGAAATTCAGCCGATTTCCTCGTGAAGCATTACCCTGGATTTAAAAAAAGTGCCGTAAAAAAAGGATTGTAATGCTAATTTCCTCTATGAAGCACTACAAAGCAACACTGAGCGATTTTTTTTCCTTATACGAAAAATTTGCGACCAAGAAGTATCATCCAACTAAATATTCAGAAACTGCACCTTTTATGCTAATATGCGAACTTCAGCATGAAATTAGCATTGCCAGGGATTTTTTATAAAGCACTGAGCGGCAAATTCTTTTCTCTTTACGTCAAAAAACATTATAAATTTATTGTAAAATTGAGAACACTAAGAAATTATGAACAATGCAAAATATATAGTGGGTGATTTTTATGTTTACCTTGAGATTTATGAAACGTCTAGTTAATCATGATAAAATACGTCATCTGTTTATATGATTTTGGAACTCAAAGTTATTTTATGTCAGTACCGTGAATGAATGAGTCACTTTGAAAATTATTCCTCGTTCTTGACACTTTGAAGTTGGAGTAAAATCCTTTTAAGCTTATACTTTGAAAGTAAAATACATGAATAATATGCATAAAAAATTTGAATGTTTAGTTTTAACATCTTAGAAGTTTTAAGTCAAAAAGTAACAGTTGGAACAGAATCATACCTGAGTAAATTTTCAACAAATGTCAATGACTCTTGCGGGATATCTAGATCATTATTGGAGTAAGAAAGTTGCAGATTTCACAGTCTAGGCCACCTTTTCTTGAAATGGACTGTTCCGTTCTCTGTAGATTTAAATCGAGTTAAAACTCAAAGTTGCAGTCTTCTATAGCCTTTTAATTATACCGGATGTCCCAGTAACGGAAGAAACGGATGGTCTTAGAAATTTGAGACAAAATCAAGTAAATTATTTTCGAGTTTTTTAAATAGCCGGCAAAAGGCGCAAATTTCTCTTATTACCCATTGTTAAAGTGGAGACAAATTCTAATCTTTTTTCTTTAATGTCCTTGAAGCTGTTTAAAAGTGAGGTAATTGGAAACCTCGCCCCCTGAGGGCATTTTTGGAACTTTCAAAAAAGAAATTATAACATAACTCTAGAGATATATAGGCCCAACAGCCTAGTGAAAACTTAATCCTAACCTAAAATATGAACAAGGGAACTGAAAACTAAAAAGCAATGATTTCGAAAAGCATCTGATACTATTACTATGTATTGACATCCTCTCTAGTTTTTACATATTTACTTAACCGATTTACTCTTTTTTTTCTAGGACCGTCCGTTTCTTAAATACCGTAACTCGCAGTTTTTATTGGAACATCCGGTATAATAATTGGAATTCGAAATTGGTTAAGTTTGATTAGTTTCTTCTTCTTCTTTCTTTTTCGGATATGTCAGAGGAAACATGTATAATACCTATATAAAGATATAGTGCTGATAATACAGAAACTTAAGAATCAATTGTGCAAAAAATGTTGAGAAGGTTTATTCAATATGCGCATTCACGAAATTTAAAATCTCGTTTTTAACCAATGGTCTTGCGGCATTCAACAATCATCATGGCCGCTGACAGAATGCGGCATTTTTATGGCAGTTGTTTCTCAAAATAAAAAAGGAGTTAAGTGTGTGTATAACTATCCCTACCACCATCAATTTTTACCATGTTAATCTCGCTATATCGCTATATAGCTATTATGCCAAATCCTATGAGGTAATGTTCAATTCATTCATTTCCTTTTCCATTTAGAACAGTCGCGGCCTACTGATATTAACTCAAATTCAAATATTCAAAAACAACTATCTATAAGTTCAGTGATTTTTGGGGAATGGGTAAAAAAGGGAGTTGAAATAAAATTACTGAAACAGTAATAAAATTTATGTCAAAGGAAATAAAGTCAACTTTGTACCAGTTACAGAAAAAAGTGATTTAAAAAACCTTGTTACATTTCATTGTAATTTCGCTTACATAATTTAATTAGTTTTTAAGCACTTGATTTTAACAACACTCAATATGATGAAGCTAAAAATATAAAAATTACCACTGATTTTGACTAAAGAATATAAAAAAAAAAACATTTTAATGTAACGTAAATGTAACCCCCTGCATCTTAAAAGTCAAACATTTTATATTCATAAAACATGCCTTTTTTGGTCGTATAACCATTATTAAAAGAACGACCATTCTGTAACATCCACTGTCTGGAATAGATGAATAAATTTGTTCCTCGTATAATGAATTTTAACATTAATATCCACAAATCATCATACAAAGTCGGGCAACAAACACGTTTAAGGAAAACCAAATGAATGCATTGCAGAGGCATCTCGTCTAGAATAGCCACTGCGATGTGGTGGTTTTTCTCCCTCATCATGACCAGCACCTACACAGCCAACCTAGCCGCTTTTCTAACCATGCAAAAGAAAGGCGACTCGATTAACAGTGTTGAAGATCTAGCCAATCAAAACAAAATTAAATATGGTAGGTACAAACTTTTATCGAACCGATTTGAATACGAGTATAAATCTACGAAGAGATATGTTATAAAGTTTGCGTTCATGATAGTTATAATAATAATACACATTTTTGATTTTTTTAAATGAATTTTAATTAATTTTAAAACATTCATAAATACTGCATGATTAGAGTGGAGTTTTACAATTCGCATGACATTTACCACGTGAGTGATAATCAATGATCAGGTGTTTTGTACAAGTTTGTTTAAGAATGCCTTTAACAAATGTCACGTCAAGCTTTTAGTGCGGTAGTCTGGATACTATTAGTATTCCTTTTCTTTGGTAGCGTTACAAAGGTTGATATCAACCAGTCTTGCGGTATTATCCCTGACTTGTAGATGTCATTAAACAAATCCACCAATACGCAAAAGATCAATATCAGCTAAGTTACGGGAAACTAAATGGTTATCTGTGGAAAATCGACCTAAATTGCATTCTTCGGTTTGGTTCTATGGTATTATATATAATTAATCTACCACTTATCTAGTAAATAAGATTAAATACAGAACCGAAGTTTATAATTTGAACTTAAGATTTCAGAGTTACATCTCGTCTGCTCCTCATTATACCTAAATTTATGAAAGATCGTTTTCTTATAACCTTTATTTATTTATTTACAATTTAGGTTGCGTACAGTACAAATTACCAAAAAATAAGCATCCCGGTGGTATCTTATAAAGTTAGGTTTATAAATAAATTATAAATTACAAGTTTACATTTTAATTAGAGTGTTCTAAGTCGTATTATGTGCTAGAAAATATTTTTTCACCCTGCATTTAAAACCTTTAATAGGAGTAACAAAAATATCGACATCAATAAAGCTGTTATGAGAATTAAATATATTTTGTAATCTAGTGATCGGAGAGTTCTGTTCTGTGTTGGTTCGGTAGTGGTTGATATCAAATAAAGCCCTGTCTCTTGCGTTCTCCCTTGGTATTCGTAGGTTAATCTTTGATCAAGTCAAGTTGATCGTTTAAAATTTTGTGGGGCATTAACAGGTATTTTTAAATTTTGATCTAATGTGGCTGTAGTTGTGATTTTCAACGTTAGTGTTGGTTTTATACGCAAGATATCCTGAAAATCTGTGTTGTACTCGTTACAAACGCGTGATGTGGATGTGATTAGGATTATGAACGAAAGTTTACAATGAACAAACGCATAGTACACTGCAAGAAGAGATTTAAGTTTTGACATACTTCTATGAGTTTGTTGCACGAAAACTTGTTCTTTTTCCTTTTATTATTGTTCAATTTCAAGTCTTGCATAATAATTGTGTTTGATTTAATGTACACACTTTTAAAAGAATGCGCAAATGCTTCGGCAACCTTTTTGCAGCCCATTGCAAAAGTTTGGTTGTGCTTTACCGTGTAGGGAATTGAGGCATTGTTTTTTCTTTTACTTCCAGTAAAATGCCAAAATTTGTTTGAGTTTTCCAAAATGTTAGTCTCTATGCTTCCAATAGGTATATTTATTATAGTGGTTTCTGATCATTTGCTTTGCATTGGATCGATCATACGTAGCTTGGTTGCGATATATTTTATATTTTTTATGAAATTTGTTTTTTTTCTTTTATTACTGATATTATTTTAAAACTAAAATAGACAGTAAAATGAGACTTAAACTTGCGAATTGGTACACTTTGTTCAACGATTCTGTCTATTATATTGTAAAATTGATCTGTCATTGTATCCATATGATCACCTGTCATAGTCCGATTCCAGTCTATTTCTGATAGGTAGGTATTTATATTGTCAAAATTAGCTTTATTTAATATATATATTCTTTTGTTTGGGGGATTAAGAAGCTTAACGCAAGACACAGACCAGAGTAATTCTATAGCTTTGAGGCACTTTCGGCAAGCAGGTAATTGAACGATTCGTGTAAATTCGTTACAATATCTCTGTTGCAAAAAATAAATCCAATGTCCTGTTAATATTATTTTTTATATGATTGTATTGCATAAATCCGAGATATGAAAATGCGTCGATTATTTCTGACAATTTTTTCCCTGATTGAATTGGTTCTAAAAACGATTCGTTGGGAATTCATTGCCAACTTACCGCAAACATGTTGAAATCTCCAACAAACAGGACAGAACTCTCAACCTTTACAAACTATACAACAGTGTCGATTATGGGTAGTGCGGTTGATTATGTATTATTTGTTAATACACACATTTGAATTATTGAGGTTTTTTTTTTATTTTTTCTATATTTCTATCACTTCTGTTGTTCATTCAAAGTCTGTTCTTAGTATCATAAAGCTTAGCTTTCATTTCTCGATATACAATTTTGCGGATATATTCTGTTTTTCCCGATTACAAATACTTTTGGGACTGAACTTTGACCAGTACTAAATTGCCTTCAGTCCCTTTTTACTGATAATTATATACAATTGATACAAACAGGTCTGTTTTAATTAATTTTCTGCTAATAAACTTCATTTATTATTATTATTATTTACTAAACATTGGTCGGAGCAGCGGAAGAAATATGATAATAATTATTACTTATTATAATAAAATCATTAATTATAATAAAATGATGCCAACTCTTTGTTTTTCAAATTCAGTTTAGTACAAGACACACATTTCGGCGACAAGTGATTAATAATTTTCTGTTTAGTTGTGGATTTATTCAGGCGAGTAACAAAAATCTAGGCTTTTTTTCTGTAGTCTTAAAATGTGTTACCGAACGAGCTGACACTGCCTTTCAAATACTACCTGGAATATATGTCCGAATGTCTTGCGGTTATATACAATTTTTGATTTATAAGTGCTTTTTTTGTCCCTTGTCCATTGTCTAGATTGTGTTGATGAGTTTTCGCCAATTCAGCATTCTATGTTAATAGCGTTTTCCTCCTATTGCTGGCTAAATACTCTGCTTTGGTTGAGTAGATAGTAGTCTGTCGCGTGATTTGCCGATTATTCCGTTTGACTCCATCTTTGTTCAATAGGAAAAAGATGTTTGTGATTGTGTGTGATTTTTCTCTTGGCAGAATTGTACTAGTCGGTCGCCTCTTTCATTTTTTGTTCCTATTCCATATTCGCCGATATATCCATCGCACCTCCCCTTTCCAACCTTAACATTATAGACACCCATTATGGGGGAATATACCTGTATCGGGTGATCATCTATGCATGGTCACAACAATATTGTTAATATGACAGCATGCAGAAAAAATGGTTCTTACTTTTAAGTGAAAACCGTGCGATGGACCAAAAAAAAATAAGAGATCAAATCTGTGAAGTGAATGCAAATGTCATAATTTTTTTATGGAAATCAGTAGCGTGCCACTGACTGTCTATGAACAAATAATATTTTGGTTAATTAGGTCGCCATTGCACTGGTTAAATCGAGAACTTTTTTTGTGAAATATAAAATATCTATCAAAAACAAAATACCTAGTTTTTAGTTATCAACTGGTGTCCGTCAGAAAAAAAAACTAACCAAAACTAACAACAAGATAAATAATAAACAATTCTCATTTTAATTTATTTTGTTTTTTTAAGTTTACATACTTCCTATTCGTAAGAAAAAATAATGATAATAATTCTCTAATTGTCATGATCATGCAGAGAAGAGGTTTTTATTTATAAGCGAATACCGTCCATCGGATTGAAAAAAATGAAGAAATTAGATTTCTTAAGAAATGATCGGAGATTGTGATGTCTACGAAAATAGACGTGTGAAATTCCGTACCTTGACCACTTACAGATATTAAAACAGCATATTGTATTTTCGAAAACATTACTCCCTTAATTTATCTTTTATTAGAAAACACCGTATATTTTGCAGAGCTTTTGAATTGATTCCCAGGCGACATGTTCAAAGCGAAACTTCCGAGAATCCCGGGATATTTCGTGGACTTTTTGACTTTTCGGCTGAAATTCATGCTTGAGATTTATCACGAACAAATAATTGATAAAATTAATAATTCTCCGCTTTTGGTTAAGCTAAGTTTTGCAGAACTTGAGTCGCCACTGCACTAGTATACCATGTACCCTATTTAAAAATCTGGTAATCTAAAAATGGAAAACTTTGTCAAATGGGAGGCGGCCGTTGGTAAAGAAAATATGAGGTTTTCTCTCTTCCAATTTTCTCAGCTGCTAAAGCTGTTACGATCAGACTGGTCATTGTTTATATTTTTAGTTTATTTGATGACATCCATCGGGGAAGTTGATCACGCAGAAACGGCAACATCACAATACTAAATTATTAATCATATAACATCGATAGATCCTGCGTATTGATATATATTCTCCCTTTTTTAGGTTTAATGGAAGACGGTGCGACTCAGGCCTTTTTTGAGTTCTCCAACAATTCTCTCTATCAAAAAATGTGGAACACCATGAAAAATGAAAACCCAAGCGTTTTCGAATCGACAAACGCCAAAGGTTTCGAACGAGTAGTGTCCAATCGCAACGGATTGTACGCCTTTTTCATGGAATCCACCCAGATCGAATACGAACTGGAGAGAAACTGCAACTTGCGCAAAATAGGACAATGGCTGGACTCCAAATCGTTCGGCATCGGGATGCCGCTAAGTAAGGCACCTATCGTTAGTCCGCTTACGTGTTTCAACTTGAGGTTACTTAATAGAACTAAAAGCCTCAGAGCTCATTCTAAGAAAAAAACTTCATATTACCGATTATCTTAAACACCTTAGTTTATGAGATACAGGATGGTGCCGTTTCCCTAATTCTTGCGTCATAGCAACTAGAAATTAAAAAACAATAGAAAACATTTAATTAACACTAAAAAACACAAAGTCTATTTGACAATGAGTTTTATAAAGTGTAATTTACTCCAAGCTAACCAAATGTGAATCTTCACTTCTAGCTCGACTATTAGAACACTTAATTTAATTATGTTTGTTAAAAATTATGCATCGGTCAAAAAATATCCACCTGCGAAAATGTCAGGGACCTGCATTTTTTTAAATCGAAGTGGCTTTTACTTGATAAAAATGAACTGCTTCGGCAACACCGTGCCTTTATCAAATAAAAAATGTTACAATATTCCGACGTTTATATACAGGAGGTTCCATATGGAAGGGTATCTGGCGAAACAGGAGATTCTTTAGGTAAAAATATTACGATTTAATGAAACTTACCTTGGTCCAAAATATATATATATATATATATATATATATATATATATATATATATATATATATATATATATATATATATATACATTTTAAATTTCGGTCAGGGTTGCCGTTTTCGAGAACTAAACCTATTAACCATTGATGACATGAATTAAATAAAAAAACAACCAGTAATAGAAATTACAAAACGTGTTTTTTTTGTAGCCCAATAAAAAAAAGTCTAGGGGTGTCAAGTCAGGGCTCCTCGCTGGCCAATCGATGGTTCCTTACCAAAGAATCCAGAATGGTAAACGTTGATTTAAATAATTTCTAACATTCACTACGGTATAATATGGATATATCCTGTACGAAAACAATCCCCTCGTTAATATCATACGACGGATTATCAATTAATTGAAATACATAGTTCTTTAACAAATTTAAATATCTCTCACCATCCAGAACAGTCATACGATACCGCGTCTATTATTTTATCATGCCTAATGCCACACCACACATAAATACTTTTCCGACCCTGTTTCTTAATTTCTTTTACACGATTTTCATTTGAGATACACCAGTAATGAGTACTTTTACTGTTGAACATACCGGCCGTTTTGCAAATTTTTCGCCTTCAAAAAAGTTGTCTAGCATTATTATTAACTACCACTCAACGTCCAAGATCACGAATAATTCGCGAAAAAATAAAACAGGATGCAACAACCAATATTCTCTTAGGGCTAATGCTGGACTCATTATTTCTTATGTAACATTCATGAAGATCTAAACGCTCTTGAACACTGTAAAAAGCCATTTTTTTCTTCTAAAAAAAGTTGGTGACAACTAAATGTCAAATATAAACTGAATATTTCTGTCCAGGCAACAATTTTATTAGTTCTTTTTCTTCCATGGACATCTTGTAAGACGCGGTTAGAAATGCTATTGCGGAAATTGTAACTATAACTGTATGTTTACGGGGGTTAGAAAACATTTTGCAATTAGTAATAAATTCAATTTACTTGTATTACTTGTTGATTTTATATTGAATTTGAGTAATTAATGTTAAAAAAAAACTTAAAATAGGATATTTTATAACTTTAGTTAGTATTATAGTGGCCTGTGGAAGTTTCTTGGAAAAATTAGATTTAGTTAGATTTAAACTAAAATACACGAGTTGTAGAAAATTGGCCATAAGCCATAAGTTAGCAAAAATTTGGGTAATAAAAGCTATAAATATGAAATAATACGGAATTAAATCGCAAACCCACTAAAAGTGCTAAATACAGGGAGATTTCGAACATTTCGAACATTTCGACATTTTTTCCAAAGAACTGTTTTTCCTTTGAAAAATGGAAAAGTTCGATTTTCTCAAAAATACTCAAAAACAAGTGAATAATTAGATTTTTTTAAAATATTCATAGCATTCCAATAAAAAAAAAACTTGGTTGTTGTCCTGACGGAAGACCCTGTATACATAAAAATACTATACATAAAATATAAACTTAGGGTCAAATAAGTATAAGAACATCTGAAGTGAAGCATTTCCTATCTCTATGCAAAATTCATAAGTGAATTAAAATGTTTAGGTTTCCAAAATAAATATAAAAAGCAAGAAATAGTAAAACACCCTAAAGACGTCACTCTATGCATACATATAATCACGCCCTCCAAAGAACGAATTGAGGAGTATAGTCACCTCCTCTGAGTATTAATCCTAGATCCTTATCCTAGATGTCGACTATGCTGATCAAATAAACAACGCGATATTGACCTTGCAAGAAAACGGGAAGCTAAATGAACTCAAAGACTTATGGTGGAAGAAAAAACTGAAAGGAGAGCCATGTTCAACCGTAAGTTAAAGGCCTGGGCGATATTCTAAAATGTACACGAAAATTTTATTATTTTAAGTTATTTTAAATACCCTGGGGCAGTCTCCCCCCCCCCCCCCCCCCTGCGAAAATATGAACGAGTATTAAAGGCGGTGGCCGGCAGGTTAGAAGATTATGAAAACGTATGTCCGTTCAGTTCAGTAACGTGACGTTGCCACTTTTCTGAAAATGTACCAGCATCTTTTATATTTTATACGCTCCGTATATTACTGCGTTTTCCGGTCCGTCGTAATAATAAGAATATTTTTCTGTATACCCATCTTTGGCGGTTTGGGATAATATATTAATCACACGTCAGAACTTCCGGAAGCGAATCCTTGGGCATTCCGCGGCTTGTTCCAAGTGAGACAAATCACATTCAATACGTCTAAAAACCGAAAATCGGCATTTTTTCTCAAATTTTTTCTTGACCTTTATTTAAAAAAAAATTGAAAATCTTTAAGTATGACGTTTCGGTTTTCTGTGTCAACTTCATTTTGTTAAACAGACTTGCATTTTTCATTTAATATTTTCAATGAGCTTGTCATTTAGAAAAAATACATGTATTAAACAACTTAACGATTTACTAAACATCACCACCCTAAAATTGATAATAAAGCCAAATTTAATCAAAAAATAAGGTGGCCATGAAACAAATGCTATTTACAAATCTTCTAAATTCCTCACGCGTCGGTTGTTTATAACTCAAACTTGCTGATGTTTCGCCAGTCATCCTGTTTGCTTCTTCAGAGCTTAACTAAAACTGTCTCGCATTCTACTCTGTTCCTCCTTATACAGGGTGTCCCACGACATGATATGTGTTAATTAAATTTAGTTGATATGTATTCTGAGATTGATAGTATCGCTGTAAGCTTACTCGCTCCTTAGTCAAACAACCATCCACATATCCACCTATGAGACGTTCACTATAAGAGCTTCAACAAAGAGTATATTATCGCTGTTCTTTAACAGCAACTGAAACAATCCGTCGACAACTTTTTAGCATTTTGAGAGAGGTTTTTGATAATTTCCATTATAATATCATTGAGACCAGCCACTTTCACGGTTTTAGGGTATTTATAGCTTCTGATAGCTCTTCCATAGAGAAATATGTAACCAGTATATCACTTTCAGGTGCCATATCAGCTCTGCAACTGGAATTATTTTGCGTCACTTTTCTGGCTTTCAATTTTGTAATACCTGGTTGGGGGGGTTATACTCATATTTACATTTCACAATTTTTTAACTAATACCCATGTTTTTCTGGTGCCGTGTGTCATGTAGAGACATTTCACAGTTTTCAACCACCATGTGCATCTTTGGTCGCTTAAGGCTGCCATAAACTCATCACCTGCTTCAATTGTTTCAGAGGGTAGGGGGTATGGAAAAAGTCAAAGGATGAAGTTATCTTTTTAATTGATGTCGATTGTGTCCCTCAATTGCGATTTGAATAGTTGTGATCGATTCTAGGACAATAAATTAAAGATCTTAGCTACGGTCAATGTTTCGTTTAATACGGTTAAACTTCCTCAGGGCCTATAAGCAAAAAATACACAGAAAATTTTAAAAAGTTAAAAATTAAAATAAGAGTCAATCATCAATATCGAAAACACAGAGAACACACAAAAATACACACCTCAATTAAAAGTTGACAAGGCGTAAAGGGCGTACATACTGGATGTATTCCGCAAACTCTATAATATTAAAAGGATCGTGGTTGCTTTGAAAACATAGCAATTAAAAATAAAACAATATCATAAGTAACAACTGATAAAAATGAACGTCAGCTAACCCGAAAAATACAATTTTCTACTCCCTACTCTAAAAAAGGCTGACCTGTTTTTTTGATCTGTCAAAGGAGATGCATGCTCAAGACTTTTGTAATCGTACCATAAGGAAGAAAGCCATATGTTAAGTGCACATACTCATCAAGAGCCCACGAGATAGAGTGTGGGGTTCCGCAGGGATCCATTTTGGCGCCCTTACTTTTTCTACTATATACCAAGTGTCTTACCAAGAGCTTTAATAGGGGACTTGTTTGTCAGAATGCCGAGGACATAGTGTTATTTGGTGTTGATCTGGAATGACTTTCGCTGTTTTGCAAGAAAACTCAGAGCAGACTCGGACCATGATGAGATGAGAATTTTCTTAAACTTAACACTAACACAGCACATCTGACTCAGTAAACGTTATGCTCAATGATAGCTAGATAGAACATCAAATTCGTGGGATTACAGGTGGATTCGCAACAAACATTATTCGCCGACTTCGTAACGGTTTGTGTTTTGAAACAATTAAGTTATACTGTCTCGAACAAATACAATAAATATTGTCCTATGGGTTGATCTCCTGAGGCTTCTCTACGCACACAATTAAAATATTCAGAACACAAAAACAGATTACATCACATCCTAGAGCCTCGTGCAGACAATACTTTGCTCAGCAAATTTACCTTCTTTATTTTTTTTGTCGTTGATTATGCTTGTACTACGTAGCAATAAAAGCATTTAGAACCTTGTGTTGCTTATGTCCAATTATTCTACCCTTTGTGACGTCGCCATTATTGTAAACCGATTTGATTGGCAATAAAGTATTATAATTATTATTATTATTATCGAGCGACTTCCGTAATTTAGTCATTGGTAAATTTATAGCATGGCATTTTAACGTATGGCAGTTCCTACAGCCACGTCACCCTTCACTCGTGGCCCAAGTGGTATTTATGAAACTTATTGCATAATATACCATTTTCTACGCCCTACCATAAAATCCCCAAGCAGACGTATGCAAAACGCCAGCTTCATTAAACACTGTCGCAAACCACTTGGAGCGTTTCCAGTATTTTAGTCACAAGTTTGGGAGCGGTCGAATGCTTTTGGTATTTTTAAGCACGGATGTCATTTCCGCTAGTTTATTTTGTCAATTGTGATGGTCACGTCAATCAGTAAATGTATTCGAGTTATCTTGCATGAATTTATCCAAGAACCAGTCAGAGTCAGTTATTCGTTTATTAAAAACTGCCTCCGTTCTTGCCAGAACAAATTCGTCACTAAAATTGTGTTTACTTAACCTGTTGCATGTTTTCTACGTCGTACTTCAAAATACCGAACTATGCGCTGATCAGGCATGCGCAATATGTCACTTTGAAACCTCAGCTTCATTAAACACTGCCGCGAGCCACTTCGAGAGTTTCCACTATTTTTTTAGTTTTTATTGAAATAATGCCTTAAATAAAAATAACGAATATAGTTGAATGTTAGGGAAATAATCTACAATATACGGGGCGTTCCATTTGAAATATCAAACACGTTGAACAAACGGCACTCACATCGCTGAAAATGTTTTGTCGATAGATGTTCCGAATGATAGAATATTTTCTATAAACTACTACTAACCTACCAGCCACCATGAATCATCATATAGATGTAACATTTTTATAACTATACTCATAACTTACCCACACATGGTTTAACAGTTTTTATTTTGAGGGTAATTTTTTTTTTCACTGTTTTTTTGTTGATTTTCTGTCCCTGTTTGTAACAATGATTGTGGTTATGAAGGTGTAAAAACCTTATATTTTATATTAGAGCTCAGAAGAGGGCATTTCCGATGAACTATCTCTCGGCAATCTCGGGGGAGTCTTTGTGGTGCTGAGCGTGGGGATTGGAATCGCGTTCCTTATCGCGATCTTGGAATTCCTGTGGAATGTGCGCAACATTTCCGTCGAAGAACATGTAAGACATTTGAATCTGTGACTACATAGAAAGACGTTATCCATGAAAGATGTTTTAGAGTCTTCAAGCATACATGTATTCGTTGCGGTTTTTAATTAAATTCAATTGAACATTTGCACATAAGCGATTCAACAACTTTCACATGAATTTAGTGACAGGTTCTCCAGATTGGATGATGTATAATTTGCCTTTAGAAATTTACTAGCCCGTAGGTTTCACATTATGTTTATATAAACACAATTTATTTTACTATACAAACATTTTACATGTACTCCCTTGTTCTGTTCAGGAACACTCGGGATCTTATATTCTCAAAATATTTTCAAATACAAAAGGTGTTTTTCACTCATCCTTTAGTTGCTTTTATAGGTTATGTGATCGGAATGTATTTTTACTTGTTTGTTTTGCCAGCATGAACACATACTTGTAATGTTTGCAAATCTATAGTTGCGACTTGTATTTAAAATTAAACCCATTTATGATAACTCTTCCAATCTGGCGACCATGTGGCAAAACCCATATAAAAGCTGAATTTTTTGGTACTGACTAAGATGATTATTTTTTCAGATAAGTTATCTGGAAGCGCTGAAAGTGGAACTGAAATTCGCATGCAACATAGCAGTAACCAAAAAGAGGGCCAAACCTGTTATTTCAGAATCATCAACTTCATCCACAGATGGACAAAGTGTTGGCAGAACCATATTGGCTGGAGCCGGCTCCTTTCTTAATATAAATACAACTGTTTTAAATAGAATTGGAGCTTCACTATACAATAACAATTAATCACTTTTATAGATTGGACATTTACTAGTTTGAAAAATACAATAAAACGTTTTACAGATTTAAGTGTTAATACCATACTTTGATTTCATTTTGTCAATCTCTTCCTGTTTCTTCTCCAGATCTGTTTTTTTGAATGCCTTATTTGCTTGATAGTAAAGCACTACTAGATATCTGTTGCACACGTTAAAACCGGATAAGTGATCGCAAGCGTTTTTGGCATCAAATATATCTTCATATACCACAAAAGCTGTACCTCTAGTCTCTGGTGTATTTCCCACCCTTATTTGCCGAATGGCCCCGTATTTTCCGAAGATATCATACATTTCTTCGGCTGTTATTTTGTATGGTAAGTTTCGTACATAAAGAATTCTGTTAATTTCTGGAGGCAGGCGCACCTAAAAAAAAACCTACAGCTATCACAAATAACGAGAAAAACACCTTACGTTTGCCTTCTTCTGCATAGCCAATGCCATGTTTGAGAATTTTTAAATACTTATAAATTACAATATAAATAGGAACTTCGTAAAATTTTTTTTCTTTTTACCAACTTCGTAAAAGTTCAATCGAAAGCAAAATTATCTTTATTAGCCAGTGTTTTACGTTCGTATTTGACTCTTATTTACTCATTTTCACATGAATTGTTTGAAAGTTTCATTTACTTCTATTGGGCCACATTATTATGATTATTCGGCCAAATGGCGAATTAAATCAATTTAAATAAATAAATATTAATGAACCAAACTCCCGATAGCAATTAACTTTTAATTTTATGAATTTATAAATTATTAATTAATCAGACAACGTGCGTATATATAATATTAGCAAAACGGAAAGATAAAAAATGTATAAAACATGTCTACTCAAACGTAGTTGAACTGTCAAGACAAGCCCAAGTGATATGTGGGCGGTTGCAATAAACAAAGTAGGCACAATCGTTTATCAACTTATTTATTAAATTTAACAAATAAAACTAAATCTACATAAAGCACATGGACCTGACGGCAAGTCATGAAAAGGGATTTCTGTTAGATCTTTCCACGCCAATCGCAGTCTTGCCAACATTTCTTTTTTCTCAATGTCTGGGGCGAAATGTTTCTGCAACAGACATTAAAAAGAAGAAGAAAAGTTAATGACATAACACCTCTAACCCCAAAATTATAAAATTGTCGTAGTTTGAATTCACTCGACAATGGCAAGCTTATTAGCTGTGAAAAAAACTTTTCTGCGACAAATGGTACCCGCAATTAATAAGCGTCTTGTTTCGACTTCGAAAAAACACAATGACACGATCACCACTCAAGCGGTTTCTGCTTCTAAAGAGCAAGCAAAGGAGCCCCAGAATTGGATTTCTTACGGGTTTGATTACAAGTCTAAATCCGAGGATAGACATGCCATGCATTCTACTATCTTCAGTGCAGTTACATTATGTTTAGTTGTAGGAGGTATTTATTTGTATGATAAAATTTCTGTTTGTGGTTTCAAAAAAATATTTGTTAAGGTTTTATTTGGGCCTACATACCTGATTACAATCTAAGAAGTTGGGCAACGCGCGAAGCTTTTCTTGAACTTAGAAGGAGGGAAAATGCAGGTCTGCCTTTAATTGATCCTAACTTAGTTGACCCTGCCAAGGTGGAACTTCCCTCAGATGAAGAACTTGGTGGTACTGATATTATAATATAAAAGCTGTGTCAGATTTGTAAATATGTATTTGTGTATGTATAATAAATAAGCGATTCACAACTATTTCAATAATTATTAAAAGATTTATCAAATGTATTGTTGTAATTTCTTGTATTGGGAATGTGTGATTGTGGTGAAACCAAATTTATTTTAAACAATACACTTATTTGTAACTGTGTGAGTCAATTCATAAAATGTTTTATTAGTGCAGGCAAAATATGTGTTTGTGTTTTTCATATGTTTGATGATCTAGATAAAAAATAAAAACAAAGAAGCTGTTTGTTTACATTAATATTATAAGAAAGAATGGTTACCCAAAAATACTTACAGACCCTTTGAATTTTGTATACATGTCCAGACCAAGCAAATTAGAAGTAAACTCAATTAATACTCATTGTTATGGATCCTATTTTGGGAGGAATAGTCCAAATTTTCAATGTTTTGACAAACCTTGTGGTGGAGTTTCTTTCTAGAGTTACCCAACACGCAGAGAGTCGAAAAACGAGTTTCAATAAATATAAAACTTCCCACGCCACAAAATATAAATAAAAAGGTTGTGATTTTTCTCCATAAAAATAAAAGAAAAAATGTCAGTTTTTTCTGGTTTGTCAGGAAGTTTAAAATAAATTATAAAAAATGAGGCAAATTGCGGTCTAGTAAGAAATTGATCTAAAATAGTTATTAATAATTGGAATTTAAAAATTGTTACAAGAAAGCTCTTCCCTGCACGCGCCTTCTTGCCTTGGACGCCACACAGACGCGAACCATAGAGAAAATAAAAAATACTTATTTTTTTCCATCGCCAAAATTCAAAAAAGAAGGCCATCAGGAGCAGAGAAAAAACCGGATCCACCTTTGAATATAAAATCTCACCACAGAATAGTAATTTAGGGCAACCACCAAATCAATCAGTTTAAATTATTGTCAAAATAAACGTTTATTTAAATTGTGTTGTCATGAATAACGCAGGTATTAATGAGCGCACTAATGTATCTGATCTAATAACGAAGCTGTGTAAACACTTAGCACAGAACGATGAAGGTAAGCCTGGTAATATTATAATGGTGTTTGAGGTATTGCACTTTTGTTGCAGTTTTAGCTGCAAAATTGAATGACAAAGCCATCCGGTTGCTTAACGAATCGAGCAGCATAACTTCGCATACGCCTAGCGACGAACCTTACTACATCGATCAAATTAGAAGATTGTTGGGCTCCCAATCAAAAGATAAGGTGGAAAAATTCGAATTGATATATGCAACCATTTCCAAATCTGTAAATTTGAAGTGATGTTTTGACATTTCTAATTGGTATTAATAAGAATTTGTTTTAGAACGTAATAAAACAGAGAACATCCATTTTAAGCTTTATTTTTAAAATTTCTGCTCAAAACGATGGGTCGTTATTTTCCTTGGGTAACAAATTGGAACAATTCAGCTCACAAAATTTGCCTACTAGTAGAACTTCGTCAAAAATTTGTGTCAATAAGCCAATATTTCATGAGGGTAATAATGTCCGGCATATTTTTGATGGAAAAAAGTTTAACAGTTCTGTGTCTACATTAATAAGACCAAATTCTCAGTCGACGGCAATATCTTCGGTGGCTGCTTGGTCAAGGAACGATGTAGGCTCATCATCGAAAGGTTCATGTAAGTTTTTGTATGGTTGTGTTAGATTTGAAGACATTCTTTTTGGTTAGTTTAATTATAAATAATATTATTTATATTAACCTGGAGATTTTGCTAGCCCAATAGCCAATCAGGTAGTGAACAGTAATTGGCTTTAATTGCTTCCCTTTAGGAGCCAACTATAGTAGTAGTTGAACAATGTTGAAAGTCTTTTTACGGCCAGTGAAGACAAGAAAGAGACACAAATTAACTGTTTTCTACTTAATACAACCTCAACCGCTATTTTTAATATTATTACTAGATAAATGGATATTTTTATCTAAAAAGTTTAAAAAAATTGAATGCCAATGGAACATACTCAATTTAGTTTTAAACATTAAATTCGTTTAGTAATGATAATAATCAGTCATATTTCAAGATTGACTTTTATTTACTTTCCCAAAGACTGTATAAAAAAACCTTTATTTGGAAAAATAATGCAATGACCCTTTCACCTTAGGTTGGTACAGAGCTAATTGACTGCAGACTATTCTAATGCATGCATTTTTATATTATTATTTCCAAATGTCAGCATAATATGATATCTTATATGACAAATAAGGGTGATTCATAATATCAGTAATCAGAAATGGCCATTTAATTCATCCCTCCTTAAGTCTGAGAGAATGGGGTACATTTCTAGACGGTTTTTAATTGAATTTGGGTTTTTGAACATAGGGAAATTTCTTCTACTTTTACCCATTTTTGCCCTGTATCAAAGAAGTCTTTGGGGTTTATTAGAACATATATAAAGTAATATAGAATATGATTAATTCATTCTTTATAATTACATCTGCATTTGCGACTTTATTATATGATCAAAAGAGATTTTATTTTTCTCATTTAACCATAATAATATTACCTTTAATTCGTTATATTTAAGAATACTATGGTGTAGGTATTGTAGTGTAGTTAATTGCTATTTGTATGCTTTTATATAAGTCACTTATTATATGAAGATTACTTTCTATATTATCTAAGATAATAATGAGATGAGCAATGGTAGAGGATTCCAATATTTTCCTGGTTAAGTCATTAATTCTTTCCTATAGTTCCTTTTGATTTATTTTTATATTAGTTAACGTTTTATCAATAGATTTAGTTTAATTTTTAAGGATCGTTTGAGTAGTTATTGTATCTTCTTGTAACGAAAACTGGTTTTCTTGTAATATTATGATATAGTTAGCATATCTTTCTCCATCGTTTGCATCTAACGTACCATAGAGATATTTATGAACTTTTCCGATTATATTAAGTAATCCTCGTTTACGCCTTTTGGGTATAGTATAATGTTTTATGAATTATTCAATTATGAGGTTAGATTACTTATTGTATTATTCATATTAATTAGTGTTAACTTTATTTTAGTCACGCAGTTTTTTATTTTAGTAAGGTTTACTTGGTAGTAGATATGATGGTACCCATTTACAATATAGGTTCCTCCTTGATTAACTGGCAATAGCGGGTTAGTTAGTTTTTCAATACGATACTGTCCGTTGGTGGCCATTATCAACGAAGGTATGGCTACTAACAGAATGATGTTCATCTGAAAGATTACATGCGTCTTTTAATATCCTTTGTCTCTGATTTTTAAACACTGCTTTGATTAATTTTGGTTTTAGTTTATTAGACATTTTCTGTGGAATGCCAAGTAATTGGTTTCTTCAAGAATTTGGGGATCATGTTCTCGTTCCTTATTCAATTTTGATGTTTGCTTTTCTTGCATTCGATTTTTTATTTGTTTTTTATGTTTTCTATCAATTCATTAAATACTTGTGCTAATTCATATACTTAATCTGTTTGAAGTTGATTAAGATTTTTCTCAAAATTAAGTTGATAGTTTAAATTTCCTTTTATTATCTGAAAGGGAGTAAAATCGTGAGTGCAGTGTATGCTATCATTATAATTTACGTCAGCGATATCTATTAATTCTTGCGTAGTTTTTGAACGGTGTTCATCACCGAGGGCAATTATACTTTCCTTCAGTGTTGAATGAAATCTTTGATAGGAGAATTTGAGTTAGGGTTATATGGGGTTGTAAAGTGTAATTCAATTTTAAATGTTTTACAGAGATCTTGAATAAGATTACTTTGAAAGTGTTGTGCGTTATCAGTTGTTATAATACAAGGAGTTCCATGTTGCGAGAAGTATTTTATTAAATTTCGACAGATTTAAATTGAATTTTCGTTTACTGGATACGCCGCAGCGCATTTCGAGAATTAATCTATTATAGTTTATTATTATAGAAAGTGAATAGATGTCTATATAGATATGCTCGATGGGTTTAGATCCTACAGGAGTTAGTTTATGTTATTACCTTATAAGGGTGCCTCTCATATTTATACTTTTGGCAGGTTTCTCAAGTATTAACAAAATTAATTATATCTCTTTCCATATTGGGCCAATAATATGATCGTTTTATATTTTTAATATTTTGCATTATTCCTCTATGCGACGTTTTAGTCATATGATATCGTTCCATAATTTCCCTTTGTTCTTGTTCATTAGGTACATCCCGAAGTAATGTATTTGATATTACAAGGTTATACAAATTATTTTTAAAAATTTCTTGGAAAATTCTAATTATTAGTGGATCCAATTCCTTATATGGAAAATGTAAGCAATATATATCAGGTGACAAATAATTTTTTATTAGATGTATTTCTTCTGTTATATTATTGCCATTAATAAAGATGAACATCGTTTTCTTGTTCTCGAAAATCTTTTCAGTTTCTACATAGGGTCCATTGTTCAATTAAGTATTACCTGATTTTTATATGTATTTATGCATTTATTAACATAGGGCGCTCCTAAAATTGGATTTTCTTGTGACGTATGTATTGTTTCGGTTTCGGAAGTGTCTCGATCCGGATTCGAGTTGACTTTATTTTAATTTGTGATGAGCTCTCTCCCAAGGATTCTTTAGAGGTTGTTGGGTCAGGATCGTCTAATTTTATAGCCCTGGGCGGTCTAATTTGGATGTCAGATATAATATGTATTTTCGATTTTTCTTTAGGCTGTTTTCTTGTTTCTAATTTATTTTCAAGATTACTTTTTTTTTTAATTCGATGTCTTCTATGTTGATCGGTTGGGTGGTTCAAAGAGTGGAGTGGTTTCTTGGTAGTCAAAGAAATGTGTTGTTCGTTCATACCAAATATATTGATCTGGTTTTGGATAGGGTCGCTCACTTGTAAATGAAACGTGAGTTGTTGGATTCTCGATAGGGTGAGGATCCATTGGGGGACGAGATAGAGCATCTGCATTCAGATTTTGTTTTCTCTTTTTATAGGCGATGGAATACTCCTGGAGTTTTAATCTCCAGCGGACTAATTTCGAATTTGGTTCTTTTATAAAAAAGAGCCATTGGTGAGGTTTGTAATCGGTAATATTTAACAGCCCAAACAATTGCTAAAAATTCTTTTCGATCGAAGAATAATTACGTTTTTGCTTGCATATGCAACTGCGCCTATCGCGTAATTCGATGCATCAGTAATGAATAGGGAATTGAAGCAATGGGTCACTCATAAGGATATTTTTACAAGTGATCCATTCAACAAATGGTTTATCGTCAATAATTTTTGCGTTTTTCTTTAAACAGTGACTCATTGGCTAGTTATCTTTGCAAAATCTCTAATGAATTTCCGGTAATACTTTACTAATCCAAGAGAGGATTTAATTTCTTTCGTAGTTCGATGGATTTTAAAGTTTTTTATAGCGGCTATTTTTTTAGATTAGGTTTTATACCATCTGGAGTTATAACATGTCCTAAGAATTCAACAGTTTCGGATTTTTCAAGCTGTTTAAGGACGTCTAAATGTTCCTGTCATCATGTTGAAAAGATAATTATATCGTCCATGTACACTAGACAGATTTTTCCTTGCAATCCGTGTAAAACAACAAAAGACGAGGGGGCATTCTTAAGTCCAAAGGACATGCACACATACTTGTAATGATCGTGTTCTACGTTAAATGCTGTTTTAGAAATTGAGTCAGGGTGCATCTCTATTTATAAGAGGATGTCTATCATCGTCTATTTTTTCATTAAATTTCCTATAGTCAATGACGACTCGCCATTTTTTTTTTCAGAGGCGTCCATCTTTTTAGGAACTATTCAGACAGGAGAACTCCACGGAGAGTTCGATGGTTGTATAAACTTGTCATTTAACATTTGTGAGATCTGTTTATTAAATTCTTCTTTATGTACAAATGAATATTTATAACTTTTAGTATATATTGGAATTTCGTCGGTGGTTTTGATAACATGTTTAATAGTATTTGAAAACGTAAGTTTATCTCCAGGTTTATATAAGATGTTATTAAATTTCTGAATTAGTTTAAATAATTTTGTTCATTCTTCCGAATTTAGATGTTAGTGTCTAATTAGTGATTTTAAGTCAATATTACAAAATTATACAATTCAGAATTATCTTCTTCAAAAGGTTCAATAGGTAAATGCTCATTTACAGTATATGTAAACATAAAATACATTCCTTCTTTTATTTTTAATAAAGTTGGTTGAATTTCATTATTTTCATTTTTAAAATTGGGCATTCGCCAGGAACCGTGTTCTGGAAGGTAAGTTTGAATTTTTACTTTCTGAATTGTTGAATTTATATCCATTAAAAAATTTTCGGAAGAAGAATGGAATTTCTAGAGAGTCATTTCTCAATAAATTGTTGAATTTATATCCATAAAAAAAATTTCGGAAAAAAAAAGGAATATCTAGAGTCATTTCTCAATAAATTATTTGTTAAGTCTATATTAAAATGTAATTTTCGAAGGTTTCTCATACCTAAAATTCCATCGAAGTAATCGTGCACAGAATAGAGAATAAATTCAATTTTGAAGCCTAGGAAAAAATTCTTCAGTTATAGAAGGTCGAAGTAGAGAACCATGAGATCCCGTATAAATAATAAGTCGTATATTATAGTTTGGTATTTCTATAAAAGGAAGTTGATCGACTTGAAAACTATTTAATTATAGGCATGGTTTTCCAAGGCTTGTAATTGAACATTTTGTAATTGTTCAACAAGGGTTTCTTCAAGAGTTTCCTCCTGTATGTCATTAGGTTCTTCTTATTCATACTCTTAATGATAAGTTTCAAAATCATTATTATTTATTTAATTTATTAGTTCTTCGAATGTAAATTGGGGTGGTTTTTTATATTGATTAAATTGTTGAGGTTGATGCCCGAAATGACTGTTGTGGTTGTTGAGATCAGAAATGGTTCGACAATTGATTGGTTTGTTGTTTTGATGTAATACTTACACCAGACATTGGTTTTGGGTATTGTGGTTTGCCAAAAGGTTGATGTGATTGATTTGGAGTGTTATACGAAGGACCGACAGTGTTTTTCGATGGTGGAAAGAAATGTTTTACTGGTTGTGGATTAATGGGAATTTTCTCTGGCTTGAAAAAGGTACCGATTGTTTTTCAAAAGGTTGTTGAGGATTCAAAATTTGCGGATTGCAATTAAGATTTAGGGTTTTTTTGGTAAATGGTGAGAAGAGCTATTTTATTGTAGGAAATTATTTTTGAAATTATTCCGACTGGTTAATATTTCATAGTTAGTAATTATATCAATAGCAGCTTTCAAATTTTAATAAGGTCCTTAGTTCATTCTGAATCTTTGCTAACAAATTTTAAGTTGCGGTCAACTCATTTTGATTTATCAAAATTTGTCGAGCCTCATCATTAAGAATTTCCATACTAATTTTTGTATTTATTTGCGCCATTATTAAAATATTTATCATAAAAGGTATCAATTTGTTTAATGAAGGTTTGTAAGCGTGATGGTGTTCCATCAAATGTTTTTAAAAGTCCTACTGTTGATTTAAGTGCATCTGCCATTTTTTTGTTTAAATTATTTTCATCTATTTCTAACAAGGTAGGTAGATATGAATAGATGTTTTGGATATTTAAAATAGATGAAGTGCTATTATCGTTTTTGACTTTAAAAAGTGATTTTTTCTAATCTATTATTAAATTTCTTCATAAATTTTTTTCTTTTCAAATTTAACTTAACTGGGCAGGATTACAACTAACGGTCAACTTAGAACTCACTGTGAGCAATTGGTTAGTCCAGTCTTGCTCCAGTATCGGGAAGAATTCTTCTGGTATTCAAGGAAGAAGTTCCAACCGTAGTGGCAATATGCCAATGCTGCTCGCGTACTACCCTTCGTTGTGGTCTTGATGTCACTCCTAAAACGGTGCTAATCCGGGTTCTATGGATTCTTCCAAACTGTACACACAGACGGCGTGTGTACTCCGTTTGGGCAATGACTTGTTTCACCAGTAACTAACACTGACCCGAACTTTGGAAACAACTCACCGGAAGAATCCTACCGACTGCGCCACTTTTATTTACTTTCCCAAAGACTTTATAAAAAAATCTTTATTTGGAAAAATAATACAACGGACGGTTTACACCTTACGTTGGTATAGAGCTAAATGATTGTTCAACAATTGTTCAAAACAAAATAACCCAAAATAGCGCTTGAAATGAACAAAATGATCAATTAAAGTGTTTTTTTAAGATAGTCATTTTCATTGTGTGACCCTAATTTAATTAGCAGTGCTTTAATTAATGTTAAACTAGGAACTTGCCAGTGGTGTGAAGATAATTTGAAAGTATTATAGCACGTGGCACTGTTAGAGTAGAAGTAAATTTTACTTCGTCACACGAAGGTTCGTACTTATAAAACACCGAATTAAAAAAAACTTCAGTCACAATGTGAACAAAAAACAGCATAAATATCCAACTGACAAAATAACAACCTTATCAATTCTGTTTCAAAGCCTACTTTTCAATTAGTGAAGAATAAATAATATAGTCATGCTACTGCTACTGATCAATTAAACTTTCAATGCAATGGCGTTTCTTGTATTAAATAAACAAGATTTTGCGGCTAATAGAATAATTTGTTTCTACATACTATATGTAACTACCGTCAGAATTTAAAAGTGATATACCATCTGAAGAGAACTGATAGCTCCCAAACCTGTGACTGAAGTACCGGATATGTACCCTGCTATTTTGGAGGAGTAGTATTGCCAGATTTACCTCTGTTAATAAAAAAAATTCTTGCTGTCGCAGAATTTTGAAAGAATATTACCACAAAATATGTTGGCATTTTTCAATTCTACATATCCAAAAATCCCCAGGTACTTAATTTTATCGTTCCAGCTTGAGCAGTTTTATAGATATATAAGTTTTTCGGTACACTTTATTAACCCTGTATATCGGTCTCCAAAGCACCGTTATTATTTTTAATACCAACCTGTATGGTTTTGCATTTGCGGATAGCTCTTTAAAAGACGAATCCAACGATATATGTGAACATTGGCCTACGATGCACCGTTTCGAAGTTATTGACGATTTTTATCAATTAATTCTGATTAATTCTTCGAATATTTTTTTATGGAATTGCTGGTCATTTTAAATATAAAGAAAAAAATAAATAAATGAATAAATATTATTTCATTTAATCATTTTAATTTAATTTAATTTAATCATGAATCGGTATTTACATCAGCAACTTTCCATAATCGAAAAAATATGCATTAGCGGAGGTCTGAAAACAAACATTGTGAATTTAAACCATATAAACAAGGAAGAAGATCCGTTAAAGTGCGTAATTTGGAGAGATAGAATTTTAGGACCAATATTTTATGAAGAAAATTTGAATGTCTTATTCAGAATACTATTCCTGAAATAGACAATCCAAATTTAATTTGACAACAGAATAGCGCCCCTTGTCATGAAAGTGCTGATATTAGTGAATTTTGAAATGGAAGTTTTAGATGGAAAATGACACCATCTGGTCAGCAAGGACCCCAGGTTTAAACCCACCCCCTTTTTGTGGGGCAAATGCCGTAAATCAGTTGGAGGTTATTGCATTATTCAAACTTGTGGAAAATTTAATTTAAAGTTATTAATTTTATTTTTGAAAGGGTTTATCAAATTTTACTGGTTATGATTATCGATACAGCAATTTCATAAAAAAATATTAGAGTCGTTTTCGGTATTAAGGTTAATTGCGTTAATATTGCCTCGAAATTAAATTATAATCGTCAATAAATTGAAAATGGTGCATTGCAATGTTGATATATATCGTTGGATTTGCCTTTTAAAGGTTTATCCGAATATGCAAAAACAAAAACCTTTCAAACATGACCTGAATCCCGACAATATTCGTTAATAACGGTGCATTAGGGACCGATATATAGATATTTTATATATCCTTGGATTCCGTCTTTTAAAGGGTATTTAAAATTGCAATAAAATATATGGTGTTCCATTTAAAAAAATATAACTTTATTTAGCCAACCTGTATGTAAATTGAGTGACTATTGAAATAATAAAAAAAAGATCATTTTACGAGAAACCTTTTTTTATAACACTCACACTCACACTGAGAATACTTTTAGTTTATCTCTTCTAGCTATTTTGTTTCCTTTATTTCTTTAACAAATAATTTTGATTCTGATTCGGATCAATATGGTGTAGATGGATAGCTTAAATCCCTAGTAAGTATGAAAAATTATTTTGACTTTAAACGAAACTTACAAAACCGAATCATAGAGAAACAACTATTCACTTAACAGGTATAAAGAGTGCCTACCGACATAACTAATGCCACCAAATATTTTTTGGTTAAGGCAGTAATGCTGTTTTTTTTATGTAATGGTTTAGAATTTTCTTTTGTAGGTATTTTAAGCCATTTTTTATTCAATTTTGTTAAAATACCAACCAAGATGCCTTTATTTTGTAGTATATAATGCCGTGTCTGAACAAGATTTGTTACAAGACGCCATCTACAGCCTGCAAGGCATCGATGGTATGTACATTAGAAAAGAACCAGGAGGATGTGGCTTTACCCTAGATCCGAAAGCGACGAAAATTCTGTCGCCTATCCAGAGGAGTCTCTTAGATAGATTGGTAGGGATGAGCTTCTTACACATGCAGTTGAAACAGTATTGCGAAGATATTGAGAAGCAGAGCGGTACTATATTTCAAGCTCTGAATGCCACCCTTAGACACGAGTTGTCAGATTATTACAAAATGGTTGCCCTACTCCAAGCAAATGTAAGGTTCAATTTTCCATTGAGAGAGAATATATTTTAATTTCTAGATGAACGGCTGCTTGGAACATGAATTGACACTTCGGAGAGCTTTGTTTGTCGTGCAAGATCATCGGATCAGATTTGAATGGCTGGCGTACATCGCGGAGCAGTGCCGGGACAAAAAGGGGGGCGAACTCATAACAGCCATCCATGGATTTTTGCAACACGGCTCGAAGTGCGCCCAAGAGGTATCGGAACGAGTGTTGAAAGCGGTCTGCAAGCCCCTATATATAATGTTGTCGCGTTGGCTATTGGACGGCGAGATTAATGATCCGTGCAATGAATTCTTCATTGAAGCAAAGCACGCAATTTCTGCGGAAAGGCTATGGCACGAGAAGTACAACGTGCGCAAGGCCATGGTACCGTCGTTTATCAACATGGAACAGGCCCTACGAATATTGGCTACCGGGAAGAGTATTAATTTTCTCAGACAAATTTGCAAAGACGGTGGTCAGCTACCGGGCAGCGAAGCCCTCCAAAAGCTATTTAAAACTACTTCCGGTGAGTTTCTGCGTTTTATAGTTTCTTTGTCTATCGCAAGTTTCGCAAATCATGTGAAATTAGGTCTGAAAGGTGTTTGTCGTAATCACCGCGAAATTCACGAGATTATCATGCACTAGGTTACTCGCATTTTTTGTAGTAAATAGAAAATATACACTAATACATATCGGTACTAAGTTCCTTTTTTTAATCCACTTTTGAATTCTGCGTCAAATTTCACGCATACCCTTTTTATTAGCAAAAGAATGAAAAACATGTCAAAGAAATAATTTTATTTATTTTTCAAAGAAACTGTCACAGACTGCTGTTTACTATTTACAAATGAAAATTAAACTTGCTGACGTTTCGCCTGCTGGCTTCTTTAGAGCTTAAGTGAAACTAGCTCACATTCTACTCTGTACTAGCTTATATATTGTTTGGTACTAGCTTATATATTGTTTGAGGGGGCCGAGCTAAAGGAGAAGCATGAACGTTTTTTCTAATGATTTCCATATTGGTGAAAGGTAAAGAACTTAGTCACGGTTAATATTGTTGGGTTGCTTATAATCTTCAGCAACTGCTGAGGATGTCGTGGTCTTAAGGCTGTTTCATGTTCTTTAATCTCAGCTGATATTTTTCGTCGTGGGTCTCTGCACATATGCATAGATTACTGTAAACTTCTGGTACCTTAAACGGAATTTTGTCTTTGACAGACCGAAAATGTTGAGGGATTTTTGTACAACTGGGTTTGAAGTTATATTTCTTAAAAACTTTTGGTATGTGGTCAGTTGTTTTGAACGTAAGGAAGGACAACAGTGGCAGGTGTGGGGTTTCTTTGGGACTCATTGTCTTTGGAAGATTGTGGTGAAGTGTATTTTGTGATGAAACGCTTAATCTATAATGTAGAAGTTATTGGAGAGAAGAGCAGATGTGAGGTGTTTTAATTCACACCACAATTTTCCAAAGACAATGAAATCCAAAGCAACCACATACTTGTCACTGTTGTTTTTTCTTACATTCCAAACCACATATCAAAAGTTCTTAAGAAATATAACGTCAAAATCAGATTTACCACTTGTCCAAAAATCTTTCAACATCGGTCCGTTAAAAATGCCCACTATTAACTTTTCAACAGTCGGCTAATTAGTTTAAATAACGCCAGAAAAAAATAAAAACGCGTACCTTCGGAAGTGAACGTAATTTTCTAGTTTTCTTCACAGCATATTATTAACCTTTAACTTTTGATTTTTTTTTAATTTAACCGTTCTCACATCCCTTAGGGTTTCCAAAATCCTCATCTTGGTCACACAAAATATTCTATACTTATAATAATATTGCTGTTTCTGGTATATTTTGAATTTTATATCAGAAGTGACATTTCTTAAATATTTTTATCTATTTCTTCCAGAGAAAGTGTCATATATTTGAGGTTAATTTGCTTATAACAGTTATATCTGCTTTAATGGTTTGTGCTAAAAAACTAACATTAAAAATTTTGTTGAAAGCGATTTTTTTAACACATTTAACAAATATCCCAATAGACGACAAAACCCTAAAGAATCTTTTTAATTTTTTTTGGGCTCTTTTATTAAAATGCTCAATTGTTTATAATATTTTGTGTGCAAAAATGTGATATATTTTTTGTATTAAAATAACAACGATAAAAAAATTGTGGCATCAAACTGGGAAACATTGATTTTCAAATCTAGAGCCAGCGAAAACAGTGACGTGCCTATTGCTGGCGCTCGATTGTTTTTCCTCGCCCTGTTTTTGAAATGCAAAATACAACAAAAATTGGTGTTAGTTTTAAAAAAGGCATTAAACGATTTTTTTCATTTCTATTTTTAAATATTCGACCACTAAAAACAAATAAAGTCTAAACAAACTAGTCAAAACAAAATAAGGACCACTTTTTAGTATAATATTTGTTGCCATTTACAATACAGGGTGTCCAGTACAAGATGATCTACATGGGGATATTGGAAACTGTTAAGTGATACAGCAATGCTTAAATGGAGAAAAGTAGCGTATGTATATCCCAAAAAATAGTTAACTTTGTGTTATTTTAAATCGATACCTTTACGTAGATCCAGGGCGAAAAAGAAAAATGTCTGTTTTTGAAAAACCACAATATTTTCCTTATAATTGCAGCTAAAATGTTCAAATTTTCACGATATAGGATATGCACATTTAAACATTTCAGCTCCTGTAATAAGGAAAATATTGTGGTTTTTCAAAAATGAAAATTTTTCTTATATACATATACATATATGCTACTTTCCTCATGGATCCCACAAACCGTCCTAACTTATACAATAATTAAGAGCTAACTTTATGAAGTCTGATAAAATCTTTTGTGCACTTGTAATGAATCAGTGAACAGGAAATTTTACGCTCTTTCCGAAAATCGAAAAATCCAATATGACCGTTCTAACGAAAATGAAAGTTAGACGAAATTTAATCGAATCTATGCCTTGTCCGTTAATTTTTTAGAATAAATACATTAAATTTTTGAACCTTCGAAATTAACTTTTTTAGATTTTTGTTGTAATTATTCTTTCCATAGTTTAAGGAAGAATAAATTTTACTTTTTGCAAAATTACGAAGTAATTAGGCAAGTGGTCTTTATTTCATTCCGACTACTTTATATAACAAAGGATTTCAGTGATGTAAATTTGAAAATATGCCAAAAACGCAAAGCCGAGAAAGTTCAGAGGAATTAAAAAATGCGGAGTCAACAATACGGCGATAAGTACGCACATATTTTCCAGAACTTTGGAACGCTATTTATAAAGTATCTAGTTTTATGTTGTTGCTCCATTTAATAAAAAAAATATTTTCAGCTGAAGCTCTATTTAAGCCAGAAGAGAGTATAGAGTTCCACTCGACCTTGGAAAGCGTATATAAAGAGACCTCTCTTCGAGTGTTGGATCTGTTGAAAAATAAATTCAACCTATATGATCATCTTCAATCATTAAGAAGGTATTTGCTTCTGGGGCAAGGCGATTTCATCCGATATCTTTTGGAATTGCTTGCGTGAGTATTCAAATAAAATCAAATATATTATTGATTTCGTTGCTAAATTTCCATTGCTATTGGCCAATTTCAATTACCTAATTACTTGTTCAGTTTTTCTTGCTATTCATGCTTTGAAATCATATAACGGATGTCCCAGTAAGGGCGAAATCCGGGTTCTATTTTTTTTATATAAAACTGATTACTGTTTTGAAAGACAGTTTAAAATCATTTTTGCTTCTTCTGATATAATTGCAAAAATATAATTTTCTGAAAAAAGAATTGCAATGGTATGACAACCCAGTGCAATCCTCAATATCCAAAATATGAATGAAAAAAAGTTGAAGCATTTCCATGGTACTAGTTGTTATTAATGCCTAATTGCGCCTAATTGCAAAATGCTTTTTTACCTACCTAAATACATCAGTAATTAATAGAATTTGTGCGCAAAAATTGATTAGTGGTCAAGTTAGTAATTAAAGTAAAATTTAGAAACTGATAAGGATTGCAAAATATAGTAATAATGTCAGCTATTGAGTAATTTTGTGAATTTATTGTAAAAAAAAGTAAGAAAAATAAATAGATTTAACTTTTTTTCTATTTTAAATATTATTATGCGCCCTAAATCATAAATTCCGTTCCGTTCTTATTTTTTATTTATTTTAGGTTAGGAGAAATGTATTGAGGTTTTCACTGGGTTGTTGGACTCTTATTTGACTATTCAATGACGGTAAAAAGGTACATTTACTATTTGCCAGATTTTTTTACGATTATGACAATTTCAACCCACTTTGTTGACCAATATTCCATTCACCTTTACGCCATATTGGTTCTTTTCAAGAGCTTTCTGAAAAATCTTTTCTGAATATATGTTGAACAGATAAGGAAAGAATGTATAGCTCCGCCTTATTGGCATATTGTTTGTTAGTTTGTTTTCGATTCTTATCGAGCTGTTTGTTCCCAGTACAAGTTCTTTATGTTGATGTCCCTTTAATTCACTCCTTGTGTGTATATTAGGTTAATCATCTCGGTATGCCTTACCCTGTCAAAGGCTTTTTCGTAGTCTGTAACACAGGATATATATCTTGTGATTCATCTCTACATTCAGCCTAAACAGAACCCGAATTGTTCTTGTCTCACATATTGGTCGCACTTTGTATTTATCTCTTGATGTGCGTGGCTCGGCTGATCAATTGGTATTGTGAATATTTGTTTCCACCGTTCTTGTTGGGTATCGGGATAAAAGTAGACTGAAGCCCATCATGTGGAAAGGTTTCTGGTTTCTTATTAAATGCTCTATGTATACTCAATACATTTTAGACGTTTAGTGCCAATGTAACTTGGTCATTTTTATTATTATCATTATACTGCCCAATAGTTTAATGAGCGTGTATCAAGTCGGTGGGAGATATTTCGAGCAATAAATAAAGTAAAAACTTATACAATAATTCTTTTTTTTTGCAGTTTTGTTCTTAGTTTTTTAATGTTTCTCTTGGAATTAGTAGCAATATTTATATTGCATTTTCAATATTATCTCTGGCGTAAAATACTGTTTAAAATATTTTTCCAATCTTGCGCACTTTATAATTTTATTTTTGTTTAATTCCCGGATTTAATCAATTATTTCCGGATTACGTTTTATAATAACATGTAACTAATCCTATTATCTGAACAAAGTATACTTAATTGGTCTCTGTAAAATTTGCACGTCCAGGTAATATTTATTTTGTTCTAAACCTTTTGTGATATTTTCGCACGTTTTGCAAATTTTCAGTATATTGTTAGTAAACATGTGTTTACCTCAATACTAAGTTTAAGTGCTTAATAAAATGGAAAGAGCATTAATGGGTGTAATTAGAGGAAGTATAATATTCAGGGTGTTCCATTTGATTTTTTTTTTCACTGAAATTAAGACTTTTCATCTTGACTCACCCTGTCTAAACGATTCAAACTAACTTCGAGACAAATATAGGATAAATGAGTGTTCCACTTTATAAAATTGTTGGCATAATAAAATTACACTCTGTATAGACCATAACAATCCTACATTGGCCGATTGAGCATAAAAGGGAGTATCTACTAAAGCAATATTATACAGGGTGTTCCATTAAGAAAAATATAAGTTTGGTTTTCCACATATTTATGAATTAATTTATAAATCACCTTGCATGTTCGAAAATAATTATAATTTGTTTCTTTTAGTCTTATCTATATAACTTTTATCTTTAACATTTTTTTCTAAAACAAATAATAAATGAGATATATTACCTTGACATACTATTTGGACGTTCTGTATAATATAATTTATCATTCAGAGAGAACCCACAATATCAGCTAAAAAAAATTATCTATAAATTCTCTTTTTTTTTACGCAATTAATTATTTAAGCTAATTACCTTATATATTCTTATTTCTATGATCACACTAAAAAAAATCACACTTTTTTGTTTTAAGATAACACTAACTAACAATTTAACGAATTTGGAATTTGAATTTATAGGACTCGAACGCCATCTACCTTGTGATTTATGAAGCTTCTAGTGATTCATGTTGAAAGCACGTCATCTGAGTACTGTTTACAAACATGGAGTTGTTGAATTAGTGCAAAGAGTTTATGTGATTTTAGAGCTGGCGGTAAAATCCTTTTAGGCTTTTAGTCTAGTCTAGTTTTAAAATCTTAGAAATTTTAAAAGTAACAGTTAGAACGGCATCACACATATCTCTTTCTGATGAGGTAACTTTTTACGCACTAGGGCTAGCTAGGGCCAATTTTGGGACACCCTGCTTGTTTTCTATTGCAGCATTGAGAAATTCACCCAAGTGAAATTCAAATTTTACAATCTAAAATTCCTCTCAATATACGGATGCAGTTTAAGTTGAGTTGTTAGAAAAACCTCGCATAGAGCACGTTGATATTTTTTTCAGTCCAGAACTGAACAAACCGGCCGGTGAAATCTACGGACATACGCTTTCGACCATATTAGAAACCGCCATTCGGGTGACCAACGCCCAATATGAACACGAAGACACGTTGCAACGGTTGAACGTTAGCTTTATGAGCCACTCAATCGGAGACACTGGCTGGGACGTGTTCAGCTTGATCTACATCGTCGACGGCCCGATCGGGACGATATTTCAACCTACGATGCCAACATACCAGTGCCTTTTCGGCGCCCTGTGGAAAGCTAAACGGACCGAATATATTTTGGCGAATATGCGCAGGCAGCAGCTCTCGATGGCGAAACTGTTCAGGAGAATTAAAGGTTCGCGTAAACAACGAGCGCGACTATTTTTTTGATGTAACAGCGAGTGTTCGTAGAGCTGGCACCGGTTATGCACATAATCCACATATTGACGTGCAAGATGATCCACTTCATTCACCAAACCCAGTACTATTTCCTATTCGAGGTACTCGAATGCGCGTGGACGGAAATGCAAAATCGAGTGAACAGGGCCGAATGCCTGGACGACATCATCCTCGGCCACACCAATTTTCTGAATTTTGTCCAACGAGGTGTATTGCTGGATGAACGTTCCAGGGTGAGTCTTTAATTCCCTTATTTATTGATTCATTATAATCATCAAGCTTAATCATGTTTGTTAATTGCCAACAAATGTTTTGTCGATCTGATCTGAAAACTAGAATTTGTGATGGAAGGTAGGATACAGTACTGGATTTGCAGCTACAACTAGGGGAAAGGAGCGTGTGATGGACCCCTTAAGGAAATTCGATTACATTTTTTTTAGTATTGTGTATTATACATGAGGCCAAGGTGACTTTAACATAAAACGTAAATTGGTTCCTATTGATTTTCTGTTCGATAACATATGCATTGTGGTCGTCCATCAAAGGCACAAGGGCCTATTAGACAAAATTATTACTATAAAAATTAAAAACAAAATAATATTATATAGCTATTTATATATCTATCATGGAATCTATGGAGAAATAAAAACAATTAGTCTTCTAATTACCTTCTTACTACAAATTTCTGTATATACAGATCTGATTAGTTAATGATTGATTCCAATCCGTTCTCTCCAATATGCATATGCATGGAATGCTATAAATTCTTGGCATCCCAAATGGAATTTTGTCTTTGACGGATCGAAGATGTTGATAGATTTTTGGACAAGTGGTAAAGTTGGTTTTGGCGTTATATTTTTTAAGAACCTCTGATATGTCGTCAGTGATGTTTTGAATGTAAGGATGGATAACAATGGCAAGTGTGCAGTTGCTTTCGGACTCATTGTCTTTGGAAGGTTTTTTTGAAGTGTATTTTATGATGTATCGCTTAATATATTTAATGTGGAAATTATTAGAGAGAAGAACAAATGTAAGGTGTTCTAATTCTGTGTTTAGTGACTCGGGCTGAGATAGTTTTACGGCTCTGTAAACAAGAGAGTTGATAACCTATGATTTTTGGGCCGGACAGTGATGTGTCAATGCATTAAAATATTGGTCTGTGTGACCCAATGTTAGGTTTGATTTTCTATTGATAAGAATATCTAAGAATGGGGGATTATTGTTAGTTTCTAATTAAATTGTAAAATGTATATTAGGGTGCCCAATTAGGGTGACTTTAAATGTCTAAGAAAATCTACTAGAGATTCTTGACCATGAGTCCAAGTAACAAAAGTATCATCGACGTAGCGTTTCCATAATTTTGGTTTTAGGTGGAAGGTGTCGAGGACTTTCTTCTTAAAGGCTTTCATGAATGTATTCGCAATAACTGTTTGTTCAAAAATTTGACCATTATGAGAAAAATATGTTCCAGATAAGCATTTTTCAGTTGAGATAAAAAATATACTACTGGACTTTATACTTCCTTAAAAATTAATTAAAAAAAACTTTATTTTATTTCTATATCTTGACTTTTTATCAAGTTGACAAACACAGAAGCTGATTGCACATCACTGTGCCTCAGAGGCAAAACAATTTAATACTTATTTCTATTATGAAATTTTAGTCAAAATTTGAACTGAGGTGGCTTTTACTTGATGAAAATCCATTTATCAAAATAAATAAGAACTAAAAGTTCAGATTTTCACTAAATTATATATTATGACATGACAATTGTTTCGACAACACCGTGTCTTTATCCAATATCAATATCAAATATCATTATCAAATAACATTTGATAAAGACACTGTGTTGTCGAAACAATTGTCATGTCATAATATATAATTTCGTGAAAATCTGAACTTTTAGTTCTTATTTATTTTGTTTAGAGAAAAAATATATAGAAAACTCTGCAGGATGTTCCGCTAATTTTTAGGGTCAAAAAAATATTACAAAATACTGCTATACCACTTATATTATTTTTTAACAGTTTCTTTTTATTCTTCAACTTGGAAATAAAATATATTGCTTGAATTGTTCTTGAGTGGACGTCATTCAATAATAATATCAAAATTTTATTCAACCTTTTGCTAACAATGTGTATCTTTATCAAGCATCTACATACATAACTTACACACTCATTGTGACACCAAGATTGACAGATTGGCGTTCACTAGAATCTAATCTGTTAATCACTTGCATTTTAGTTTCCAGTTTCATTATCACCTATGATGTAAAGCAAAGATTATAATAATATTCGTTACTGTATTAATCGTTTTGGGATTATATAAAATTATATTTACAATAATGTGAACAAATGTTTCAAATGATAGAAATGGTTCCGTACAGCAAACAAGAAACAGCACTACACTTTTTTTTTGCGCTGCTCTTAGGCAATTTCCCAGCACATTAGTTTTTAATCGATAAAGTCCGGACAAACCCAAATGACACCCAAGCCTCCCGCCTCCGGGAATCGAACCCACAACCTCAGGTAAGTTCGAATTGGCAGGTCAACGCCTTACCCAACCCAGCCATCCTCGGTCCCAAACCTACACTGTTTTGGATATGTTATGTTCATATTTGGAAAGTTAGCGTTAAGCGAGGTCTTACTGTGATATATAACTCATTTATCTACCCGAAATTGATGAATTTGAATTAAATATTTTTGTCTCCATGGATCTCTTTAATATCTTTAAAATCCGATTTTGTGCAGCAATCGGCACAATGTTTCACGACTGCGGGTAAATCGACCATTTGCTTTTATTATCTGTCGCTACGATTTAAGCCTAAATACTCTCATACATCGCTTTCACTTCCCTGCGAATCCACTCTGAATCACCATTTCTAAACACATGCATTACGCCTTTGTCACATCGTTCCTCACTTTCTAGTGAATCATTATCAAGTAATAGACGCACGTTTGATCTTAGAATGCCAGTTAACTCTACTCTACTCCCCATGGCTCATGGCTGATTTTTTTAGAAGACGTGCAAACAAATATTGCTTCGAAAAATATAAATTATTAATGGCCGGTTTTTTAAAACTTCAATACGTAGAAACAGTATGTGCAATTGTCCGATAATAAAGATAAAAATATAAGTAGAATATAAATTTGCACGTTCTTTTTGGTTCGTTACTCTCCTCAATTACGTCGTCGAAATTTTCGTCAACCCACCGTCTAAACTTAGCTAGTAATAATTGTAACATTACCAATGGCAAAACGCGAAAGTGTAAATAAAAAAAAGTAAATAAATATAATTAAATATTTTATATAAACATATTTATATACCTTGTATTAAATAATAAATAAAAATATCTTATAACTCTTAGATTTTCTTATGTTTTATTCAACGTTTTAATCACAATGTGAATCTTTATTAAAAAATTAAAATACATACAAATATTATATAAATTAAATATTTTATATAATTAAATATTTACATACCTTAATAAATAAAAAAGTAATACATAATAAATACCTTAACATTCTGTAAATGCTTAAGTTTTATTCAAACTTTCGATCACAATGAGAATTTTTATCCTTTTGTTCACAATTGATCTTTATCAAGAATCTAAAATATATACAAATATTTGATAAATTAAATATTTTATATAAAAATATTTAAATACCTTATAATAAATAATAAATTTAAAAAAAAGGAGACGTTAAAATTCTTTAAATGTTTAGGTTTTATTCAACGGTTCGATCACATTGTAGAAATATTATATAAATTTAGTATTTTATATGAAAATATTTATATACTTTATAATCAGTAATGAATAAAAAACTAGAAAATAATAAATACCTAAAAATACCTAATACCTCAAAATGTTTAAGTTCCTTTCAACATTTTCTAATCTAAAATATATATAAATATTTGATAAATGAAATATTTTATATAAAAATATTGAAATACATTATTTTAAATAATAAATAAATAAAGAGTTTGTTTATTCAACGTGGATATTTATCAAGAATCTAAAATATATACAAATATTATATAAATTAGTTGTTTTATATGAAAATATTTACATACCGTGTAATAAATAATATAATAAATACCTTAACATTCTTTAAATGTTTAAGTTTTATATATAAAAATACTTACATACCTTATAATAAATAATAAATAAAAAAATAAAAACTAATAAATCCCTTAAAATTCTTTAAATTATTTTTTTATCAAGAATTTAAAATACCCACAAATATTATATAAATTAAACATTTTGTATAAAAATATTTGCATACCTCGTAATAACTTTAAATTCTTTAAATGTTTAAATTTTATTCAATGTTTCGATCACAACCTTTACCAAGAAAATAAAATACATACAAATATTATATAAATAAAATATTTTATATGAAAATATTTAAATATTTTATAATAAGTTATGAATAAAAAAATAATACATTTCTTAAGGTCCACATTGTGATCGAAATGTTGAAAAATTTATATCTCACAGGTTCATTTGAATTACCGCGCCCTGTCCAACGTAAACCAGTCTTCTTTTTCTTGCAGCCATTGTTCTCACATCTGATTTCCATATACAACTTCGTCGTTAACTTGGAAGCACACCAGGACTCACTGTATTCGGCAGCCGCCCGTGAATACGAAGCTTATATCGAATATCGTCAATTGGCTGAAAGCGTGGATCAGTTCCAGGTGACGGCGGACGTTGAGAAAGCCGCCAAGGTCCGCCGCGCCACTTTCCATCAATTCCTCAACTCGACAAGACTCAAAGTGAAGAGCACGGCGCAGACCTACGACGTAATCGTTACAAAGTTCCTCGAATTGTTGACGTCAAGCACCGACCTGAAACTTCAGTTGCTGAGCGTGCGCCTAAGTTTCAACGACTTTTACAAGGTTGCCTGACGGGAGGAGAGAACCGAGCCTGGTCCCGACCATGTCTCGTGGGAATCGGGTTCCGCTTCCAGCAAATACGGCAGCGTGACCTCCTTGATCAGGAGTAAAAAAAAGAAAAAGGGACGTATCTGATGCTGCGTGGGGTGAAAGGTGGTGAGATCCCATTTAGTATATAATTTGATTTACGTTGTTACACCGGGATTAGCCAACTTCATATTCTTAATTCTTATTTTTCTTTATTTTCTTAATTTTGTTGGGTATAGTTTTAAATAAATTACATCGATTACACAAGGTGGACCAGTCAAGGCAACTTGGTTCGATATTAGGCTAACGGACTATGCTAGATATTGGGAAAAAAACAGTAAGCAAATCAGCAAGGGAAAATACAAAAAAAAAACTTTACAGTTTTATTAGAAAGTCAATTACAAAGTTTTTAGTTATTAGTGTGGGGTCTTATGGTGCACGTACTATTTTACGCACTTGCCATTAATCACCTGTTGCGCTGGTGAAGGACCATTGATTCATTGAATGCTGCAAAAGTGAACTGAACATTTATTGTTGTTACATGACACTCGCCTTACGAATATATACTCTAAATTTTTCATAAGTTTTCTCGCCACGGGTGACGTGATAGGTACAACTACCGCGCATGCTGTTACTGTCGCATCGCCATGTCATATGTCAATAATTGAGGTGATGATTTTTGGGTTCATTTTAAAAAGAAAACTTCATATGTCCTAAATGTCTTAACGTTTGAGATACAGGGTGGTAAAATTTTCAAAAATCAAATATAATGTTTTAATATCTTGGTATACCATTTGTAGATATTTAATAAAATTGGGCATTATTTAGTGTACCACAACAGTGGCAGACGTGAAAATTTCACGTGTCTTTTCTTTCAATCCGATATACGGTTTTCACGCTTGATAGCATGCAGAGAATTATTATCATTATTATTTCTTACTTAAGTAATTACCTATCTGTTTTATTAAAATACTTCAAAATATCGAAGTACAAATATGAAGTAAAATAAATTGAAATAAGAATCGTTTATTATTTACCTTGTTAGGATGTTATGTTATTTCATTAAAACTGTAAAAGTAAAAATATTAATATTTTTTTTCCTGAAGCACAAAAACAAAGTTCTCGGTTTAACCAGTGCAGTGGCGAACTAATTAACCAAAATATTATTTGTTCATAGACAATCAGACCACTGATTTCCTTTAAAAAAAAATAACATTTGCATTCATTTATAAGGAGATAGACAGGTGAAAATATTTTTTCCATCATCCGTTTTCCTAATAGGTAACTCGTCGCTCTTACCTCCACTACATTTCTTTAATTCGTAAATAGACGTTCAGCTGAAATCTTAATTGTCAAATGTCAATTGTTAACAATTAAAGAATTGGCTAAACGTGTTTTGAAATAGCTAATACGTTTACGATTGCATATTACTAATTAAAAAGACGAAATTGGCTAATCTCGGCCTGACTCTTTCACCCTGTTTAAGATATTTTAACTGTAGGTTAGTGTTAACTGTGTATATAAGATATTAGTCCTTCCAAAGACTGTTAATTTTTGTACTAAATATATAATGCGAATATGTTATAAAATTTTATCTTTTTAGCCAGCGTTTTATTTATTTCCCATCCAACATGGCACTCTTCAAAGAAGTTCACGGTTAAGCTTCCTCAAGAAGGAAAGGTTAGTTGCAATGTAAACAAAATAAACAAACTAAGCTGGGTTTGAAGTTTAAATATCCAAAGAGCATTGCCCAGCAGGTGTACACCAATTACAGAACAATACACAAAAAACAATTCACCAATAACATGTAAAAAAATTAAAATAAAATCTGTCTTTTTGTTACTTATTTAAAAATATATAATACTATGCACCTTTTCTCATACCATTTTCTATAATGCAAAATTAAAAAAAAAATACAATCCTTTGAATTAACATTAAAAAGAACCATTGGTCTCATTTTTGAAAGTCTCGAAGTTCTGCTCTGCTGTCATATCGTGTTTTATAACCCATAAAAACATCCATCTAACAGGTCCGTTGGTATCTACCCATCTTTGACTAAAGGTGTTATTAAGCGATTCCCATAAGAGCCTTGATTTATGATTTAATAAGGACAATCCTATCACACAATCCATGTGTGCCCAAAATAATCCATGACACCCCAACTCCAAAGGGTCTTTATTGGGTCCTTGTACCCCGCAAGTTTATTTTGACAAGTAACCAACTTTTTGTAGTAAATTTAGTAAACTAACCAAAACTGTATTTTCCATGGCCTGTCCATAAAAAGGAAGAATGTATATATATATATATATATATATATATATATATATATATATATATATATATATATATATATATATATATATATATATATATATATATATATATATATATATATATATATATATATATATATATATATATATATATATATATATATATATATATATATATATATATATATATATATATATATATATATATATATATATATATATATATATATATATACATATATATATATATACATATATACATATATATATATATATATATATATATATATATATATATATATATATATATACACCCGAAAACACTTCGAACACTGTGTTCGAAGTGTTTTCGGAGGCGAGCATTGAAGATGCCAAGTGAGATTTTGGCGAAACGTCTGCACGATTCCAGTCGGATGCAGGATTTGCAGTATTCCTGTCGGATGCAGGATTCCAGAAGGAGTTCAACGAGCGAACGGATGATATCCCGGAATATAGTGTCATCACATTTTTCCATCCGTGAATCAATACGTGAGAATATATATATATATATATATATATATATATATATATATATATATATATATATATATATATATATATATATATATACTAACACTTGGAATTTCTTCTTATGTCGACCGTACTAAACTTATTTGAATTCAAAGGATATCGGGTAGCGAAAGTTGTACTGTTTGCCTAAGATCCATAAAAAATATATTCCCCTGAGACTAATAGTTAGCTGTTACGTACAAAATTTCGAGATTTGTCGCTAATATCCTTAAAACTACGTTTACAAACACAAATGACTATAATGTAAAAGATTCATTTAACTTTGCCAACATGATCAAGGGTTACGTACTCCCTGACAATTATGTTTTGATTTCATTGGATGTCATATCGCTCTTTACTAATATTAGTCTCGAATTGGTAAATGGATAATGAATGGAAGAAGATAAAAGAACACACTAATCTTACAAAGACAAATTTTTTAAAACTAAAATTTATTTTCGATAACACTTATTTCAGTTTCAATTCAAAATTCTACAAACAAATTTTTGGTACTCCAATGGGTTCGTTTTCTCGATCAAATTATATCCAAATTACCTTTCAATTTACCTTTCATTTATAAATATGTTGACATCTTCTTTGCACGGTACCATATGCCCAAACAGCTATAACCTTGAATATTTTTAATTCTTTCAACACCAACCCAGAATTCACAAATGAACTTGAGAAGGACTCGTATGTCCCCTTCTTAGATACCAAGGTTATTAGAACTAACAAAAATGAAATTATTTTGGATTGGTAGCAGAAAAACTGCCTCAGGTAGATTTATCAATTATTATTCCTCTCATTCACACTTTGAAATCGGAAGTTACGTTTCCTATGTACGTGTTTGCGTTACGTTTCTGCAAAAATTTCTCATGAAGTCACAAGGTCCGCCATTTATCCCTACATTATCAAATTTAGTTCAGGCGTAGATCCTTGGCGCTTGCTTCGTAATTCGTAATGTAATCTTGGTATGTCTGACCCACGTAGTGACTTCTCTTTGAATCCCCGTGCTAAACCAGTTGTAGTACTTTATGACTTCCTACGAGGTAGTAAACTGGCAACGTAGCATTTTTTGCCTAGTTCAAGGCGTTATTTTAGGCGCATAATACACCGAAAATGATTCATTTCGTATTTGCCGGTAACGAACGGCATCTGGTGACTTCCTGAATGGAGTAATAGCCTTCTCTGGTTTTGGTCAAAAACAATAAAATGCTCAAAAATATATGATCCAGGATCCATTTATAGTTTAGATTCATCTATTGAAGTAAATACAATTTGGATATTGCCGGCTTAATTATTTTTCTGTCTTTAATAATAATATAGCACTTTTATTGTAGAAAATTTTCTTCAACTTGATCACCTTGAAAAATTTATTTATAGACAAAAGGTGCTTAAGCACATTAACGTCAAAAATAAAATGTGCCTGAAATATCCTAGAATTCGGAAAATCAATTAAATAGGTAAATGCTGATAAAGGTTATTTTGAGGCTATGTTTATTTGTATTTGTTCATTTTTTGTTTGTTGTTGTTTTTCTTAATTTATGCTAGAGGTTAATTAAATATATTACTACTCTTTTATTAAAATTTTTTAAAAAAATAGTTAAATTCATTTTTTGATTGAACTATTTTAGCCCAAAGATTTATAACTATTTTTGCAATTTCATAAGAGGAGGATCTTTTCAATAGTTCTAAATGTGCTTAGGGGTCCGTAAGTATACCCCGAAAACGGCGGTTTGACGTATGCTAAAATGCAATCTTTGCTGCAAATACTTTGGAATATATTTTTTTATAATTTAGAAAAATAAGGTCGCAGATTGTAGATATCGTGTAAGATGCTATGTTCGGATACATTATAGACATTATAGACAAGAGTTCCGCAATCGCTGAACTCTGCTTTAAACACTGCGTCACAGCAATTTACTTGTCACAGGATGACTGAAAGCTCACAAAATTTTTTTCTACATGTGGCTTACGGCTTACATTGCTTACTTTATTTTATAAACAATGGGACAAGATAAGATAAGGACAATTTAAAATAATTCAAGTGAAAAACACGAAACGTAAGAAACCCTTAAATATTTTAATTGGATTTTTTTTAGTATTGATAAATATGATTATTATAGTAAACAAAACGCAATAAGTATTAGAATACAAAATAAACTGAATACTTGTTATAGACTGAACGTTCCTTTTCTTACTGAATGGCAACTATTCACTAACTCTATAAGAATGATGGAAGCAAACGCTTCGCAAGTGACTTGTGACTTCCTCTAATTCTGCTTTGGTTTAGAAAATTATATCTTTAAATATTCCTCATAAAAAAAATCTAGAGGAGTTATCACACAATTTCGCAGGCCACTAGTTCCAATTCAACGTTGTCCAAACTCTTCATTTAATACCTCACTTACAATCCTAGCGTTGGGAAAATTCCTACCCATACATTGAATTCAAAGCGACCTTGCCGATTTTAATACACTACAGCATGAGAATTTTTGGTGCTCCAGCGATAAGAATTATAGCTGTTAAATATTTCGGAACACTCAAATCTCGTTTCATCACTTCAAGGGAAAATTAATGTTTTCATTGCATTTTCCGATAAGCCAGATGTATGTTCATGTAGTTGCTGCACTTTTCTTATTTCTGCTTTTCTGAAGTAGTCAAAACGTGAATTTTTCCAGCATTTGTTGCGTCGTGAAGATATGCTTGGATTTTGCAATACTTCTCCAATTATATTCAATTCCCGGATTTTCCGTTCCTCATCTAAGTGGTTTTGATTTTACCTTAGCTTCATTTCTGGTTGTCGCTGCCCTGGATATTTATTGAAATAAAGTTGTACCTCTGCGTTTTCGTTTCACAAAATGTAACACTTTGTCATATCTTGCTCTTCATAATTTCAAAGTTGAATAAAGAATAAAAGTTATATTGTTAACTGACAGTGACACACGTGCACTAATAAATAAAAAAATGCCCTATATTTCAGAACGATGCTTGCCATATAAAATAAGGAAGTTGTATTCATTAATGACAAAACGGAGAACTATAAAAAAAATCTGAGTACACTGCATTTGTCTTAAAATAATGTTTTTAACCGGATCCAAAATGTTCATAAATAAAAATAGTCTACTTTCTAAAGGGCTGAAAATTTAAAAAACGCTAGTAGAGTTAATAAGCTCGCAAAAGTCTATTAAAATGGATTTTCGTTTGCAGTTTCTTGCTAAAATGTAATAAACACTTTTTATCATTTCTTATATCCTAAGAATGCAAAATCAACTGGTGGTATAAAAATCGAACTGTGCAGGGGTGGTTATTATTATGTTATTTATATTATATTATACTGCTATTAAATCGACAAAACCGTTTTTCAAACTTTTTATTAAAATACATTTTTTTTATATATTGTATATTTTATATGGGAGTCTCTAACGAATAAACGCTTGCTCTGAAAACTCATTTTTATGTTATCATTTACCTCGCTGTAACTTGAAAACCATTTGGTTAATCAAAAAAGTGTTTTCTATAAACGATATGCATTGTCACGTTGTGAATATCACTGCCGCCAGCGAAGCAGCGAGGAAGGGTCATATTTGCGAGAACGGTCAGGCAATAAACCGAATTGTCAGTGATTAATTTAGATTTCACTACGATTTTCATTTATTTAGATGACGATAAGGAATATTTTTGGGACTGGTATGGATTTCGAGACGTCTGTTTTGGTTAGTTTGTGCCATAAGCAGAAATGTTATTTAGGAAATTCTGCAGTTCTGTTATTAGTTAAATTACGAAAGTTGAGAAAAAGTGAAAACAGTTCTGGAAAGGGTTTTTTAATCACAGACGTGTCGAAATCCATACCAGTCCCAAAAATATTCCTTATCGTCATCTAAATAAATGCTTGGCATTTTATTTATTGTATAAAAGATTTAGTTACTTTTGACAGAGCTAGACTTTGATTTCATAAGTATTATATATGCTAATGCCGTAATTTTAATTGGGCCTACTTCGAGAACTGATTCAAAGGTAAAAGGATTTCTTTCTATTCTAGGTCCGTATTTAGTGACTCTATCTAACTATGCTGTAGAAGCCAATTATACGTTCTCATACTTTTATGTTTAGGCCAAATAGCTGTTACATAATATAGTAGTTGTCATTGTATGGGATTGCAGATATTGTTCTTAAATGTATAGACTCCTTTTTGCAGGAGCACAAGCAGTTCGTCAGTGTTTTTAAATGATAAAGATAATCTCTGTCATCAGATTAATTCGTCTGGGGTTTATATTGATATAGATGTTCCACAGGAATCAATTTTAGGTGCTTCTGATGTCACTTACACTGTCATTTCAGAAAGGTGCGATCTTTTATTCCAGAATACATGCAACAATATGTTGAGCAACGTCAAGAACTGGTTTAACAGTAAGTTTTTAAACGCCTATAAGACAACGTTTTTATGATTCCACCATCCTCTAATCCCATTTTGATGATAGATAGTTGTCCAGTAGCTCGTCTGAGAGTGTTAAGTTTTTAGGTATTATGCAAGTTCTTGATTTCTCAGTTGAGCTCAAATATTTACATGCTGAGGAATTTGCGCACTGTATGGACAGAATCAGAATTATTTAAAATATATTACTATATCACATTGAATCTCGTCTGCGATACAGAATAATACTATGGGGCTGGTCTCCACAATTGATAGAAGTGTTTTTAGCACAAAAAAGAGCGATTCATTGTATTACTGGGGTACTGAGCTCTCACGCTTGTAGAAATTTATTTAATAAATACAATATCCTGGCCTTAGCAAGTTTGTTTATGCTTTAGCTCAGTATGTATGTATTCAAAAATAAAACAACTTTACTCAAAATAAAGATATTCATTCTTTTAACACCAGACAGCAAAACAAAATTCTGCCAAATATAAAATTTCGTCTAGATCACACTGTATACTGGGACTGTAAGTCTTTAATCGCCTTCTTGATTAAATAAAATGTAACTCTTTAACAACTTTTAAAATAAGATTAAAGCAGTATATACTGCAAAGATCTTTATACACAGTAAACAATTCTTTTACATAACCTTTTGATTATGTGACTATACAATATATATTTGCCTGTATAGAAAATAAAGGTATTATTATTATTACCATTATTATTGTTTCTTGAGCGACATTAATAACCAAAGCAATTTGTTTTGTTTGGATTTCAAACCGCAAGCTTTTCCTTTAATGTTGAACACTCGGATGAATCCATAAACGGACTGACTCATAACATAACATAAACCATACAATGCAGATATGGGTCTTGTATGAAAACAATGCTACCTTTTCCAATTTTGGTATCTGTGGTAATAGTTTTCCCTCCGCAGGTCTCATTAAATTGTAAATCCGAAAATAAAAATGCGTAAAAAAAAACCCTCACCGATTTTTACCAAAAGAAACATTGCCTTCATAGGTGAGGAACATGTTTTTCTAACATAAAGCTCACAGATTTTCTGCCCTTTAAGCCGGAACACACGCATTTGTTTACCAAAAACCTGACATTATTTATACAACGAAGTTTATTACCGTTATTGATAAAAAACAGAACTTTGATTTAAATTTACTATTAGTAGGAATCTCGAACTCTTTGCAACAATCTTCTTTGGAATAAACCGGTGGTATTTCCATCCACGTTCGAAATCGGTTCATTTCTCCTAATGGCCAGCTGGAAACAACGTACTGTAAACCCCACGCGACATGTCAAAAAAAAAATTACCTCAATATCCTGAACCATTTTGACGTCCTCCTTGGACCAAATCAAGTTGGTTGCTTTGCAGAGGCGTGCACTACCGATCCGTCCAACACGGCCTATTCGGTGGATGTAATCGGCAACGAATTCCGGAAAATCGTAGTTCAATACGCTTTTCACCTGTACCGTATTTAAACCCCTCGAACCGACATCTGTAGCTGCCAATATATTTACCTTACCGCTAAAACAATAATTAATACGTTAGATGCTATTTATTCTAGATATAGGAATCACTTAAACCGACCTACTTAGGCAACAAAAAGTAATTATTATCAACAAAAAAAGAACAGAAAATGCCGTATACGCTAAAGCACTATGGGATACAGTAAATAAAATAAATAAGAAAAAAATATAAACAAAATGATACAAATAAAAACTACACACTATGTAACAAGTAAAAACGAACTTCCATAGGCTACTCTAACACTATTTACGAAATTCTAGATTCCTCCTGCGTCGGTTGTTGTTGAGTCGAACTACCTAACGTTTCGCCAATCATCCTGTTGGCTTCTTCAGAGCTTCACTGAAACTGGCTCGAATTTTACTCTGTACCTGCTTATATATTGTTTGAAGGGGGCGGAGCTAAATGAGGGGCATAAACATCGTCACGGATGACTGATTCTCCAGGTAAAGACCTGAGTCGCGTTTAAGATTAGTTTTAGTTGCTTATAGATTTTATTTATTTACAGATTTCTATAAATTCTCGGATTTTTCGTATCGTTTTGTTATATCGAATAAAATTTGAGAGAGCCTTAAGACTTCGATCAATCACAATCATCAAATTTTATTCGATAAAACTAAAATTCTTCCATAAAATCAATTCTTCTACAAACGAAAAATCTAAGAATCTATAGAAATCTATAAGCAACTAAGCAAAATTAACCACAACTCAGGTTGTAACCTTTCACTAGCGTTACATACATAGCAGATCTGATCAAGTTTAATGAAGCGCAGCGTTTCAGAAAAATGTTATTATCGAATCTTATTTGTGCGATAAGTTTTAAAATAACCATTGCTTGATTAAAAATTCGTGTAGTTTGAAGGGACTGCAATGCTGAGATCTGCTTCAAAAAGTTTTGTTTTAAAACATTCTAAGATGTCATTATTTTGAAATCATAGAGTGATATATAATGGATTGCTCCACCACTCACCCAACCCATAACGCAACTCATGAAACAGCTCTCTAATCTCACATGACCAGTTGAATTTGGTGTGCCTTGTGTTATTGATCAGAGATAGCTGGCGATCAAAACACAGTCACGGGAGGCCACTCTCCATTTTTAACACTTTCATAAGAAAGGTGAGGAAAGAATAAAATTTTATGTGATTGTGTTCGGCAACTGCTGATAAGTTTATTTGTTAGTCTTAAGGCTCTTTCATGTTCTTTGAGCCTAGTTGATATTTTTCGTCCAGTCTCTGGCATCTCAAATGGAATCTTGTCTTTCACAGATCTAAGATGTTGAGAGATTTTTGGAGAAGTGGTAAATCTGGTTTTGCGAGCCAGTTTCAGTTTCCGAGAATTTATAGAAATCTATAAGCAACTAAAATTAATCTTAAACGCGACTCAGTTCTTTACATAGAGAATCAGTCATCCGAGACAATATATATAAAGAGTAAAATTCGAGCCAGTTTCAGTTAAGCTCTGAAGAAACCAACCGGATGATTCGCGAAACGTTAGCTAGTTCCACTCAACAACAACCGACGCAGGATGAATCCAGAAGTAGTGTAATATTACAGTGGAAGTTTCTTTGAAATACCTTAGATTTATTTTTTTGTCTTTGTTGTCTATATTTCGATTCCTTTTGGTAGGTATCACCTGGGATGAGATTTGCAGGATAACAATAGTAATACTATGGTATATTACATATTATTAATATTTTTAAGATTTTTTATCTGTAATTGATGCACTGTTGATCAATAAAGGTATAAATTAGTCCAGTTACTAAAGGAAAACAAAATATTAAATAAAAATCAATATGGATTCAGGCAAGGTAAGTCTACAGAAAACACAATAGCCTCTTTAACTTTATTTATTTAAAACTCGCTTTTAACTAATGACCTTCCAGAATTCAACTACCAAAAAGGCCGCTAATAGATCCTCAATAAATTTTAGTATTTTCCCAAAACATGCCACTACATAATTTTTTAGATTTTTAAATTAGACAACAATTAACAATACTACAACTCTATTTGTTCTGTATGCATACATTATTAAATTATTGACATTCTGGAGATATTTCATGACAACCTACACATATTTAATATTTAAAATATTTAATACACTAAAAAAATTAGGTTATAGTAAAATCCTATTAACTCCACATTCTATTATCGAGTATGCTACAGTGGTGTAGAGCCCAGTGCGAGAAAAAAGTTCAGAAAATTTAAGTTTATAGATCAGAAGCCATAAAAAAAAACTGAAGAGATTTGGCGGGATAAAAGGTATACACAGGTTATTGTTATAATCCAAATATGGTTCCAATGCACCAATTATCAAAATGCTCGCTGATTTCGTCATAATTTCGCTATTACTGATTAAAAAAGAAATGTAATTTGTTCTAAACATTTATCACCCGAAGATTGAGTAAACCTATTATGCATTTTTACTTCATATTTTTCCACGATTTCCGCTTAGGGTGGGATGCTGTTTTTTTTATTATTGTTTAATATTACTTTTGAAATTGATGTTGAGAATTGATTTATCCAAAATTTTGAAACAATTAAAGCAATAACACTTAGTGTCTTTGTTATGGCCTTGAACGGGTCATGGAAAGATCACACTCAATTGCAGTGAATAAAATATGCTCTAAACAAAACGACACAGAACAAAACAAAAACTAACCACACTTGGGATCGTTTTGTTACAATTCCCACAACATGGTTGAAATTGAAAACAGTTAACTTGCGCATGACATTTTATCTGTCTTTTACCTTAATCACCACAAACTTGTCTGTTTATTTTTTTAGTCCTTTTAAGGTGGGTATTATCCTTATAACGTGAAAAGAAGGAACACAATAATGGTAATATGCTACTAATTAGTATATGTATAATTTTGAAAATGCCACGTCTGTAAGCAGATATACCTAATAAACAAATAAAACTAACCTTACAAACTGGTTCCACTGCTCGATCCGTACAGCATAATTCTGATCACCATTTATGTTGGCACAGGGAATACCATTTTCTCGAAGGAACAAAGCAACCCAATGATTAGTTGGACTCCTATTTGTGAAAATTAACATAGGGTCCTTGTTATTCTTGGCAATTTGCAATAGATGAGATGGTCTTGTTGACTTTAGGGTCCTTAAAAATTTCTGTGTGATGTTTAGGAGAGGTTTGTGAAGTCTAGGTGACAGAACCTAATTGCAAATTTGTTTATTACAATTGATATAACAATCGCGGCAAGTTTATTCTTTAGTTTTCAATTGCGAGTTTAACAAGTTAACTTATTATGGCCAATCATCTACATTAATAATTTATTCGCTAATAAAAAATACAACATGCATACCTGTTCCATAGTAGCTTCATATGGGGCCAAACAATCAGGCACTTTTCTTGGTAAAGTGGCAGAGACTAAAATAAGTTGAGCTTGAGACATTTTCTTAATTAATGTTTCTACCCTCTCTATAAATGAGTCATCTAATAATGTGTCAGCCTCATCAAAAACAACCCACCTTACCTACAATTAAAAGTCAATTTGCTAATTAGATAATCGAATAACTTACATCACTCAATCTGTAAACTCCAACTGTAGATAGTTTTCCAAGAACACCAGGTGTTGACACTAAAATATCCACATCCTCAAAGACTGGGTTGACCATCATTTTTTTAGTTCTTCCTCCCACTACTATTCGAACATTAAGTCCTACAGGACTGCTTAAAATTGTAGCAGCTTCTCCAATTTGATAAGCCAATTCCCTGTTAGGCACCAAAATAACAATTTTTGGACTATTCATACCCACATCATTCATTGATTTTATTTGCAATGCACCTTGGATCAAAGGCAATAAGTAAGATATTGTCTTACCACATCCCGTTTCTGCCGCAAGGAGGGTATGAACACCTGAAAATACCGAAATCAGTGTGGTTAGAAATAAAGGAATAAAGTACTACCAGTCTGAATTGTAGGAATAGCTCTGGACTGAAATTCTGTAGCCGCATATATACCTTGTGATTTGAGAGCCTCAATAACTTCATTAGGTATACTGAAGTCCCTAAAAGATCTAGTATTATCTAAATTTTCATCTAGCAATGGTAAAATGGTAAAGTAATCCCCCTTTGACTTGTTATGGGTCCATCCTTTGGAGGCCAGTGGCACTTCTTTTAACTTGTCGTAAACTGTTCCATAATAATAATCTAGATCCCGTCGTTTACAAGTAATTAACAAAGGACCTCTGTTACATTTTGATTTAGGCAAAGCCGTAGAGTATTTGAATGTTTGATCAACGAGAAAGGGACTGAATTTGGATATATGGCGCCCAAAAATGTTTACCGACATAATTTAACTAACCCCACCCAAAATTAACTTTGATGTACTAAGGCTTTGCTGTTTGGTTTTAACCTCACAGTGGAACAAAATACAGAGTACTATTCGCGAACACCGCGCTTAAATAGGCTCGACTGCTCGACCACTATACCAAAGTAGACGAGTCCAGGTTTAGATATATGCATCACATATAATAATATAATATTTCATACACATCGATGAAATAAGTCTTTAAATTCAAATCTATTGTACAAAGAAGAAAATATCAAGTTTTGATATATTTATAATGTATTTTAAACAATATTATTTTATATACTTTAACGTATTAAACAAAAATTTAGTGTAGATCCAAACAATATCGTCCTTTTTTTTGAATGATGATTGTGACAAACGATATTCTTACGGATTTGCAGACATATTTGATAATAATTTACAAAAAAAAAACAATTGAGGACTGTACCATGAGATGTACTTTGCAGGTTTAGGAAAATGTATTATAAGCAGGTAACTTATCTGCTATATGTCCTCTGCGTACGGTGTTTGTATTTAATAAATAAATTAATAACTATTAAATGTTTAGTTTGCATTTGTTCATAAAAAAAAGCAGCGCTTATGGGAAGTAACAACTTTACTATTCTCTTTTGTTTACAACTCTAGACCAAGTAATAAGTCTTAAGTTTACAGTTACAGAAATCAAACATTGAGGCCAAAAGGTAAAAACCGATTCTGTGCCTTTGGTCAGTTTGTTCATACATGCATAATTTCTCCATGCATGACAATTTCAACTATTTCTTCCCATGGTCGAATGATCGTAGTTATCTGGGACAAATGAACTAAAAAACCGTCATAAAATAAAACATAAGCAAGATTAATCCAAATTATCGAAATGCCGGACGTAATATTGACCGTGATGGAAATGGGATTTTCCAGGGAACGAGCGTAAGAAGTTTCGCCGTAAGCATCAATTGGGGACCTAATATGTTGAGATGTTATAGCGAACTGGCGGTGGCAAAGACTGGGTCCCAAGACATGCAGGCTATTATGGAATGGCTGCTATCACACGAGGAAGACACAGACGCCGGTCATGAAGGGGGCTTCCAAGAACCAAATCCCCTCTCATTGGTTGAACAACCAGAACAAAATTCCTCCGAATCTACCCAGAACCAAGCACCCAAGTCTATTAGATGTGATGATTGTGGAAAATTGTTCAAAAGCAATCAGGAAGTCGAATTTCATGCCTCTAAATCAGGTAAAACATCAATGTGCATCATTGCTGTAGTTGATTATGTGTTTTAAGGACACGAGAATTTTTCTGAGTCAACAGAGGAAAAAAAACCTCTGACAGAAGAAGAGAAAAAAGAGCAGCTGGCGAAAATCGAAGCTAAGCTTAAACAGCGGCGACTTGAGCGGGAGCAGAGGGAAAAGGAAGAGGCGCTTCTACGGGAAAAGGCTAGGATCAGATCTGGCAAAGAGCTACTGGAGGCGAAAAAAAAACAAGATGAACTAGAGATGAAAAAAATTATTGAGCAGCGGAAAAGGGCAAAGGAGGAGGAGCGACTTGCTAGGCAAAGGGTAAAAGAACAAATTGAACAGGATAAATTGGCTCGGAAAGCAAAATTTTCTGGCAGTCCAATGCCCGAACCTTCCCAGACTCAGCCCATTTCTGTCAGGCCTGTGGAGAACAAACCGCCATCAAATTGCACTGAAGTTAGATTGCAGATCAGGCTGACAGATGGAAAAACATTGACTCAAAATTTTGGCTTGAAAGAGCCCCTGTCGGCTGTGAAATTGTTTATAGAAATTAATAGAACAGATGAGAAGGCGCCATTTAAGTTGATTACTTCATATCCGAAAAGAGTGTTTTCCGAAGAAGATTATGACAAACCTTTGGAAAGCTTAGGTAAGCAGGTTTTCATAAATGTCTGTTCTTTTAATTTCGCAGCTAGAAATCTTGGAGTAGTAAAAGGAATTAAATTTTAAAGGAAGGACTCATTAAGGTTAAATTTTAAAAATATTTCCATATTAATGCAGGGTGTCTCAAAACGGCGCAATGTAAAGTTACTCGTTTCCTCAGATCATTTAAAGAAATCTAGGTATATTTTGAGAAAATACTGCTGCAAAAATGCCTGTATATCTCTGGTAGGTATATGGGGTTTTCCTTTGAGTGATCAAAATTAAGTTGGGTTTAATTAAACTTTAATACACCTAAATCTCGTGGTTTTTGAAATTTCTTCAATTTTGCGCAAATGGGGTATCTATATTTCAGCTGGTGTTTTCTTTTTTTTTTTTTTAATCCAAATTGATAATGAAGCTTACCAATTGATGAAGTTTTATGTCGCACCTGTGAAATTTTTACCTGCTCAGAAGTATCTAAAAAATGTGGTTAAATAATCAGTATGTCTTAACATAAAAAACTCGTTTAATTAAAATAGAATGTCATATATTTTAGGTCAACACCAGATGGAAAATTAAATTGGGTATTTTTATTTATTATTTCTGTCCCTGATATTCACAATAAATAAATAATCAAATTCGCAACAATATTGGCACCTAAAAAACATGTTTCTTCAAAAGGCCTAGAAATAAATACAATACAGAAACTACATAATAAGATAAAATATAAAATTTCCTTCACTTATACCCAGTTGTTTTGAAAGAACTCCTCCAAGGGATATATTGTTTTACCTACATATTGTTTTACCTACTAATAATTTTTTTTAGTGAGTTTTCAAATTTGCTTTCTTTAGTAATATTTATGGTATGAGTCAACCCATGCTGCGAAACTCGCAAGTGATTTAGTGATCTAATAATATAATTGTTACTTTGGCAGATGTCAAAAAAAAATTATGTACATTATTTTTTACAAAAGTGCTCCATGCAAAACATAATAAAATTACGGTAAGTATCTTTAGCTCTCTGAAGAGGTGTCTACAGAAAAGTCACTCTTTTTAAATGTTATTGGTTTTATGATTCATTTTTGGGCAATCATCATTACCTCCCCTATTTACAGAATTTCTGTATGACTCCCAAGACAGGTTAAAATCTAAGTTTATTGGATTTTAGTGCTTAAATCTGCTGTTTATAAGACTCAGTTTTAGTTATATTCAAAGCTAGGCCATTTTCATTTTCTGAAGAACGGCGCCCTCCTTGTACTATCAGATGTGCAAGAACTCAACTGATGAATATTAGAGCTTGTCACAACAACAGCAATATCATCTGCAAATAATGATGCCCAATATATTCAGGGGAGTACTTTTTATGTCATCAATAAAAGTCAGAAAAAGAAGCGGCCCCAGGACACTTCCCTTTGGTACACTCCTTCCAGATACTGTCACTCTGAGTGGAATTTCCCCTTCCTTGCCCCCTCTATTCAATATTATTTTACTGTCCCATTTACAAATTTAGGTAAAATGTACTCTTGGTTATATAAATATAAATTATGAAAAAAAAAACAACAAATATAACAACTTTTGACAAATTGGATAAGGCTCTCGTGGCCAGTTGATGGTCTATTGTCCTAATTCAAGTCTTAAGGCTGTTGTTGGTTGGAATTATACAAATTTGATAAGTGCAACAACTAACCAAAACTTCATCAATTATTTTGTTTGTTTATTTGTATTGTTTTGGTTTTCGCAAAATTGAATGTATTTAAAAAACCATAAGGTTTAGGTGGTTAAACTTATCCTAACTGTAATAATGTCCAACTCATTAAATTTAAAAAAATACAACTTTGGTACTTTTCATGTTTTTGGGTCACTCTATATAATAACATAAAAAATATTAAATTTAACAATGCTGGACTGAAGAACGAAACTTTGAAATATTTCCTCAAAACCGTCTAATATATTTCAATCATCTTCAATGCTAAAATTTAAAGGTTACATTGGTTTTTGTAAGTCAGGCTTTACATGATTATTTATAATTAGATTTTGACTTGTCAGTAGCCGAGGTGAACCTATTTCCTTTAAATTCACGTAGATGTACTCTGAATTCGCAAATCATGTCTTGTCGAATATTTAACATTTGAATGGAGATAAGTTAGAATTTGTTCTTAGTCCCTAAACTGGAGCTAAAGTAATTATCAGATGTCAGTTTTATTTCACCATATCAATATTTATTGAATTGTTTTGTTCTGTAGTTTAAAGTTTTCTGTAAAATAAATGCATTTATTTGTTTCAGGTTTGGCCCCTTCTGCTACTCTTAATGTGTTGAAATCTTAGCCTAACTCTTACTCAAATCGGTCCATACTCGTTCGTTATAAGTGAGTTAACCTTTACTTGTATAAATAAATTTCCGTTTAAAATATTTTTATGCTTCAGGGTTGCTAAAGAATTCTTAGTGTATTTTCTTTGTTGTGTAACTACCTAGCGGGAGCACAAATGACGAAATAAAACATCGGGTTTCCATTTAAATATTCCCTTTATTTCCTAACGGAACAGAAATATGGTATATTGTACAACTAAGGGACACACTCCCAAGTATCTCATAAATTAAAATTATATACACCTCAATAAATTTAGAACTAGAATGGTTCACAACCCTTATCTGATGATCAGCACAATTTACATATAGCTGCCCGATTGTTGAAAATAACACAGTAATACAGAAGACTGGTGGCAGATTCTTCGAATCGGCTTAAATATTTTCAATACTCCATTATCCAATTTGTTTTTAGAGTATCTAATTGAATAAATAATAAGCCATATTAGTGACGACGTAGCATCAGCCATTTTGTTTGGTAACTACCGACGTTTGGATGTTTCAATTTGTAATTACTAGGACTATTTAATGCAGTTCGTAAATTTGTAATTCGGGTCTAGAATTCACATATTTTAGTGTAAAAATAAAAGCCTGAAGGGATTTCGCCACCGCTTCAAAGTGTCAACAACGATAAACAAATGTCAAATTTTCTGTTCCACAGTGCTGACAAAATAAATTTGAGTTCCAAAATCATATAAACTCTGCACTATTTTATCAACTCCATGTTTATAAACCGTACTCAGATGAAGTACTTTTAACATGATTCACTAGACGTTTCATAGATCTCAAGCAAAGATGGCCCTCGAGTCATATAAATTCAAATTCAAAGTCATTAAATTTTATGGACAAAACTTATTGAACCAGAATTCAGTGTTACCTTCAAAGAGTAACCAAAAGAGTGTCATTTTTTATAGTTTTATCATATAAATAAGAATTTAACATTTACTGCGACAAAAAAAAATTAGAATTGATGTATCAATTTTAGAAATGTACTGACATTTAGCTAATATATTGTAGGTTCTCTCTCATTGACAAATTATATTATATAAAAATTCTAACCTAATTAATACAAACATTTCATTATTATATTATTAATTAATCACTAGTGAGAACAAACAATGTAAGAAATAAAAAATCACAGTTAAAACAGAATCAGGCCAGTATCAAAACTGGAGTTACAACTAAACTTGAAAGGTGAGGTACTAACATTGAGACACTCCTACTATGGCCCTCTCAAATAAACAGTGTAGATAATTGATTAGATGAAAACTTATTAATTATTAATATTTATAGGTTATACTTTAATATCCATTAAAGATCTCTGTAATTCTTTGTGTCATAACCCATTTTAATATTTACAAAGTACTGCTTATATACTATTGTTAAATCATTATGAACTCTATTTAATAGTCTCCAATAATTACAAATCACTTAAAAGCTGATACAATAATATAAACTCATTGGCTAATCAGTTTGTTTGAATCCCAGATTTCAACAACTGCCAAAATAACTATGTTCGTCCTACGTCAAAGTAATTCCAAATATATGACTAGTTTGCACATTATTTGGTAGTAGAGTAACAACAAAGTATATTTTATTTAAAAAATTGCCTATGGTCGAGCTATTGCTCCTATTTTATGTAGGTACTGCGTGAATAATATTCTTCCTAAGTGTTTAATAATACCCTGTTCAATTACAAACAAGTTTTGTATCAAACTGTCTTTTGTTTAACATTTTCGTTCAAATGTTTTTGGTTGAGTCGTTTCGTGAATAAGCACCGAGTAGTTTGGAACATAAAATTTAAGTTCTGAAAGCATAAAAATTAATATGACCAGCTTGAAATGTATGTGTAGGGTGGTGTGTACGAGTTCTATAACGTGAACCAGGTTAAAAACTTAACAAATTTGTAAATTTTCGTGTACCGTTGCTGCCGTTCGTAATGCTCCTGAAACTCCAAGAAAATGTCGTCGTTGTAGTCCAGCTCGTAGGTATTGGGTACCGACTCCAGATACCATACTGGTTTCTTCAGGCTACAGTTCGTTATGGTGCCGTTTTTTGATTTCTGACCGTCGCAATCGGTTAGGTCCAGCGTCTTATTCAGACATATGCGAATCTCGCTGAGGAACGACTCCTTGCTTTTTGCATCGACCACACATTGGACTGTAGGGTTGACCTTTAGCGCAGATTTAACGACGTTGTAGATCGCGTCGACGCTGTAAGCGACATTGTTGGGCACGATGCCGCTATTGGCCAGAATCCTCGATAGGTCATAGAGTTTTGTAAATTTTAGACCAGAAGCGAAGTAATTGGCGACGCTATCTAATTGGGGCAACGTCACCGAACACGTGCCGTGCTTTTTCCACTCGTGCGCCCACAGTGAGTTCGGTTTGGTGTTTGCCTCGATGTTCACCCAATAGGTCTTCAGGTCGTCCATTAATGGTTGCAGCTCGTCTGGGTTGAAGTGGATCGCCGAAGGGCAGAATAATGGCCCTTCGGTACCTTGAAAACGCCCGAAATTACAAATTTGCCAAAATTGACGTGACGTACTTGCTCTGATTCTAATCGCAATGCAACCACGTTTCATTTTTTTTGGAACGTGGAACTAACCAATAATACAAAAAAAAATGCAAATAAGCATTTAAAAAATCCACAGAAATATATATATATGTATATATATATATATATATATATATATATATATATATATATATATATATATATATATATATATATAATGATGACACTATATTCCGGGATATCATCCGTTCGCTCGTTGAACTCCGACTGGAATCCTGCAAATCCTGCATCCGACTGGAATCCTGCAGACGTTTCGCCAAAATCTCACTTGGCATCTTCAATGCTCGCGCTCCGAAAACACTTCGAGTGTGTGTGTATATATATATATATATATATATATATATATATATATATATATATATATATATATATATATATAAATGCTTGTGTATGGAGTTTTTACGGGTTTATACAAAATCAGTGTGTATGCGCCTACAATTTAAGGAGAAAAAAAAGTGAAAACTTTTTGGAAATCAAAATCAACTATAATTGAAACGGTTTAAATATCAGAATAAAGATGTTCAGAAGATTGATAGATACGTACATTAACCAGAAGCGCAAAGTTATCTTTGAAAGTTTTTTTGCCACTATCAAGTATCCAACTCTCAACAGCTATCTTACAAAATAACTACTTGTACACTGGTCAATTGTCTTTGATCATGTCGACTTTCTCCTAGACTCGTAGTTATGTTCCACTAACTGCCGCACAAAGCATCACTAGAGTAACCGAAATCTTTTTTATGTATTATTTTAATAATTCATTTTTGTAGTATATCTAAGTTGTTCAAGTGACAAACGGCAACTCCACCACAAGTAAGAATTGCGTAAGACAGGTGTCACTGGATAAGTGAAAGGGCTAGACAGTCTCGCAGGTTTATCAAACGGGGCAAAGCACCCCTGATATTTTTAACAACATTCTTTATCGTGTGAGATATGACGGTCAATATTTATTCCCAAAGACTTTATGGATTCGGCTTCTAAACTCTCTGAAAATCTCTGTGTTGTTATCTATCTTCAGCGGGTCAAGATTCCGCTGTATGACGTAAATGGTAAGTATCGAGTTTTATCGAAATTCAAGGTTAATTGATTGCACCGAAACCACAGCACAAACATCAAGAAATTTGCCCTTTAGATAGAGAATAACAGTGGCCCAGGTACAGTGCCCTGCGGTATATCTGCAGCGCTGAAAGCCCCTCGACAATCAACATGCTGTTTGCGAGATAGCTTTCTAGTGGATTGTAAATCGACACCCATAACATCTCATTTGATACAAAAGTTTAGAGTGAGAGATCCAAAAATAATAATATACTGGACTGTTTCGAATGTATTGTATTGTAAATCTAATCTGAAAGATCACAAATTGCGTCCCGAGTCGCTCTTTTCTTCCTAAACCCATACTGACGATTGATATTATACTTGTGCAGAACGTCCATGATTCCTATTTTTATAATTTTCGGAAATACTGATACACTGATGATGAGTATGAAATTTTGGTTGGTTTTGTTTCATTTGTATATGGGCTTGAGACAGTCAGGAAAGCGCTGATGACGAAATAATGTATTAATTAAAGATGTAATAACTGAAATTTGATCAGTATGACGCATCTGGGCGATTTCTTTGTTTTTAAAGTTTTAATTATTTGTTTTACTGTGGTAATATTCATTTCATAGAAACAAATTGTATTCTCCATGAAAGGGATATTTCCTGCCAATACCACTATACTAAACATTAAAACTGTTTGAAATGTGGATACTATCAATATGGGTTTCATTATCATCTGTCACTATTTTATTTATCTCAACCCTACGCCTTCTTCGTTCACAAAGTTTATTTACACATTCCCACCATTCCGCAGAAGAATTGGTATTTTTTGTTACAATTTTATTTAGGTAGTCTTGCTTGACCGCTTTTATTAAAGAAGAAAGAAAACTTTGGATTACTATGTAATGGCATTTTTCTCATTTATGTTGCTCAATAACGACACTGTCATCCCCTCTTGTTTTTATGACATATTGTGCAGCTATATTCATATCGTGTTCATTGTTAATATTTTTCCTTTTATAAATGTACTTTTAAGTAATTGAAACTAATGACATGAAACGTTAGTAAAAACTGAAAAACCACAACTCAAAGAACTGATCATTTAGGACTATTCTTAAAGGCCCTCATGTCGTGTGTATTAAACATTCCGATGCTATATGCTATAGTTGGAAGGTTGGATTGGAATGGAAAATAAAAAAAATCTTCTAACAGTATTAAAGTTAACATTTCGGAACAAAGGGGCTTATTGATTTAACCATGTCATGAAACTAAGTTTGTCCACCACCCCAACATTTCAGCTATGTTAAATACCAAGATTGGCAAAAATTTCTGTTGAAATCTATAAATTTTATCAATATATAAATATATCTGTTAGTCAAAAGAGTTCTAACGATATTTTGGTTACTCTCAAGTCTCAAATGTTTAAAAGTGCAATCATGGAAAAATATTTATCAACGAGGATTGTAGTAGAAACGCCAGACACTTGTTTCGCGAAGTTAGAGAGTTCAGAAGTAAAGGCTATAGGTATGTATGGTTTTATTTTGTATTATGATCATGGAAGCTTTATATACTTATAGGTATACTTATTTATACTTCTTCATTGGACACTGTTTTCTTAACCACACAGCTAGAAACCTCGTTAAAAATATACAGTTAATTCTACACATATGTTATCGATCTCCAAACTCCAACTCCAAGAGACATGGAAATTTTCCTATTAGATATTAATTTAGATCTATTAAGTAATATGGATGCTACTCTCTGTGAATATTATGCTCTGACGGTAACATATGATTTTGTTTCTGTATATCAGAACGTTATTAGACAGGCACATGTTTAGGTAATGTATTCTTAAAAGAAAGTGTTACGCTTCGTTTAATCTTAAGCTTCTACGAGTGAAACAAAATCCTATAGTTCAAATTATATTTAAAAGACCGAACTTTTTCTCTGTCGCGTTACTTTATGGTATAGATATTTCCAGTATTAGTACATTGTTTATCCTGAGCACTTGTACATAAATTTATAAACATTTCTCCAGACAGGCACTAATCAACCATCATTATGAAACTAGAGCTGATATTCACAGAAATGTTATAGTCCCTAAAAGCAATGGAGCTGAAATAATTTATTAGGGCCTATAATTTATTTAGTGTCAAAATTTTATAACCTGCTTCCCATGTGTGTGTAAAGAAAATTAAAAAAAGTAAGATTTGTCTGGGGAGACCAAAAACTATATTCTAGAAAACTCTTCCAGGTTTAGCTGGTATGCTTAATCCTAATTGTTTAGTTAACTTCTTCAATTTTAATTAGTATTGAATTATTTCAGGTTTGTAATTTAATAAAATCGTCTTGGGTCTTGACACATACAGGTTAAATAGTCATTGTAATTGATATATTTTTGAATATTGAAATTTTTCAATTTTATCAACGTGGCAGCAAAGCGCAAAAGAGAATTATATAAAGTTGAAAAACAATCTGGAGATATATCATAACTATTTGTGGTAACATATTCTAAGTTTCTCAATCAATTTCTGACGATCTTATGATTTCTAAATATAAGTTCTGCATCAACTAAAACACTTAAGTTCTTGACTACAAAGATAGACTCCAGTGAAACATTATTAACAGTTGCACATACTGTACATATATTTTTCTCCGATCAGATATTGTTAAAGTCTGTTTGCAATAATATTAAGTTTGCTAGGGTAAGAATTAATTTAAAGATCATCCTTAAATAACAAGAAAAAAAACACAAAACATTAAAAAGTCACAAGCGCGACTCCTGAAGAACACTAGAGAGAACTTTTATTTTTATGTATATAGACATATGGATAAAGTTCAAAACTACTTACCGTGGAACAAAGCTTCCGTTACTATGGTTTAAAGCGTTATGCATAAAAAAAAGATTTGCATCTATTCCATTTTACTTAAACTTTCACCTTTTAAGAATTTCGTAATTTAAATTATCACTTTACAAAAGTAGGTAAAAGTATTTAAATGCTTGAATTAATAATATCCTATTTGTTCTTGACAATTTGCTTTGAGGTCAACAGGCACTAGCTACTTTTTACTTTTTATAAAAAATATTTCTTTAATTTAAAATTAAGAATAGTAAAAAAGAAGTATTCAAAATTTACGTAAAAATGTGTCCTTTTTAGATCTGCTATTACACTACAGATAGCGCTAAAAAAAATATGCGGTGTTGTCACGAGCTCGTAAGCGTTAATCACCTGTTTAACAGAAGAGTAATATGTTTATTGGTAAATAAGGGTATTAATCTAACCTCTTAATATACCGTCAAAAAAGCGCGCAAAAATTAAAAAGGTTGAATTTAAATGACGCCAAAAAAACTAGAATATAACCCGTGAAGTGACTAGACGAGATTTCATATGAGGAGGAAAAAGTATATATTTACAAGCAAAAATCGTTGAATTTTGTTCCTATCTGTTTGCAGGCTATGTTAAAAACAAACTAACCAGAAACAGTATCTGTGGATTAAGAACAAAAACATTGACCTATTATATATAAATCGTGGCGTTGGATTTACGGCAATAACTATTTTCTTGTGTTGTGTTTCAAGTGCTGTTTGGAATTGTGAAAGTTAATGCGAAGTTGTAAGCAATATACACTGTTTGGTAGATCAACAGTATAAAACCACCACCAGGTGAGTTGTAAAAATTGCAGTTAAAGTAGAATGAACAATCCTTGTTTGCCGTGCGACCCAAGCACAATTAAAACTTTTGTGTAGAGTATTAAGAAAGTAGAGAACAAAGTAATAAAAAAGGGCGTGCACTTATAAGAAATGGCACTCACAGAAACCTAACTGTACAACTGCCAACTTCTTTGTTGCTTTGTTGAAGCAATGGTAAAATTTCTCCTTC